GTAGTTTTTATCGTGCTCCAAGTATTGTGGTAGCGCAATTAAAATTCAACATTTGTCTCACATTTTGCAGAATTTCATAAATTACGTCTACACATTAAATGTTATTAGAGCTTTCAACGAGATGTAATCACTGTGAGAGTCTGCATGAAGCACTGGCACGCTCGTTTTTCTTCATGGGTGCCACGAATATATACAGGCTGATCAAAATTGAGTGCCAATTTTTTGAGCCAAGTCTTTTTTTTTCCTTATGGAAAATCGTGAATGTGATACATTCCTTTTCTAGTAGTATATAATGATATTTCAATTACATAAATATATGACATTTTTTGTACATTTAACAATAAAAGAATCATGAGAACTCCAATTCAAAACTAGGTGTTTATATTGAAGTAATCATTTTCAGATACACAGTTCAGATCGAGATTCAGATTTATTTCTACTCTAGTGTAGTTTAAGTAAACTATATAGTGCAACCTACCTTCCAACATCGTCCAAATTTGGGATCAATGTGTTTTCAAACCATTACTCAAAAATAATAGCTTCCATGTTTTTATGATAGTCAACATTGCAGTCCTCAAGTTTTTTTTCACATAATTTCAAAGAATTCGGAACCCATTCTTTACTTCCTCCGCAATGCACAATTATTAATCGCGATCCTTTGTTTGCAGGCATGTTAGGCGGACACATTCTCGAACCATCAGTCCACCCTTTAGTGTGTCGTGAGTGTCCTACCAAGTTTCGTCCAAATAGAAAATATACCGTTGTTATTGTCTATATTTAGTTATTTGTTGTATTTGTTATGAAATTCCACTATTCTTCTGCTTTCTATAACTGCTTGACGTTTGTTTATTATTTTAAATTTAAATCCCACTTTCTTTATCCAATTCTGAAGAGTTTTGTCACAGGAGCTCAAGTTATGGGTGGAAGTATTCAATGTCATTTTAATGATTTCAGTTTTAGGAATCTCATTGCTTTTGTAACAGTCGTATATTGTTTTTTTCAATGATTTTATTAGATGCAGATATAAAGGTTTTAGTAATCCTGTATCACACCGCGTCTTGCTTTCATAAGGTTTGTTTTTGACTATTTTACGTACAGTTGAGAAAGGAATTTCGGTCAAATCTGATGTTGCTTGTAATAGTTTGTTTCCCTCAAAACCAAACTTGAGATGTAGATTCTTATATACCTTGAATGATACTCTCTGTGTTTCAATATTCAAATGCATCTGAATTTCATTCACTGGTATCTCTTTTTTGCATTGTTCACCATCGCTATTGGAATCACTACCCTGGAAAAAGTCTGTGTTGTTATCACTCTCGTTATTACTATTTTTAAGTTTTTGTCCCCATTTGTGGGTTTTTGTTTAATAAAATAAGTCACAACCATAACTACAACACCGACAACAACAAAACTTACTGCGATTACCACGACTCTACTATGCATCGTTACTTGAGAGAGTTTGAAATATTTGAATATCTAAGAATCGGATCAGGAATGTATAAATTGGCCAAAAACTTATATTGGCCAAACTTGGAAAACATATTCCCAAAGAATAAAAGAACATAGGAGTAGTTGTAGTTTGTGCTACTGTACAGAAGATCATGTGTTTCGGTTTTATTAAGTGTCAGGAAAAATCCCGCTTCAAAGAGAGATCAGGGTCGAATTTTGAACCACTTGGTATATGACATACAACAACACAGACGTTCTCATTGAATTTCCCCTTGTATATATACTCAGGTGATACTATCAAATACATAAATCTGAAGTATTTTAACGTGATATCTCCTTGAGATGAATTGCCTAACCTCGTTATATTCACTCCCAAATTTGAAATCTTTTCCTCGAAAAGCTCATTCGCGTTATTATCATAGACGTTTTGCCAGGTTTTTATCTTTTCATCACGATTTTTGATTGTCATCCGATCGTGAGATCCCATCGAAATAACGACAATTTCTACAAATTATTTAGATAGAAAGTACGCCTGCAGTTCGGCCATTTTTATGTGCATTATGAAATCGTTGTGCTAGCTTGCTCTTCCGATGCGAAGATCACGTTTCGCTGGCTGTCGTTCGTCGTTCACTTTTTTATCAAAGCCAACTTTACTTGTTCGAGATCGCCATTCTATTCTAGATTGTCTTCTGTTCGTAACTTCAAATTAAATGAAACCCATCAAATTGTCACGTTACACAATTTATATGTAGATATAAAATCTGTTCGCGATCAATATTAAGTATAAAGAAAATGTAAAACTTTTGGTAAATTTATAAATAAGGGAGAGCGCCGCTTTTTTCTTTCGGATTCGTAATCTACGCATCAAAATACGTAAGTACAGTCAAAAATTTTTTCAAAATCGCCGGGTGTCCACATAACGAAAATTTACCCTAAAGTTCTACGGTATTTATATTTTTTGAACCATATTCATTCAAAAGTCCATTTTACACCACACCAATCACGGAATCATTTGCAATCCTATGATGAACCATTTCAATATTCTGTGCTATTGATCTTCTATTCAATGTAATACCTACAACCGATAAGCCAACTACTTTGCTTTGGTTGATGTAGTTAAATGATAGCTCCTCTATATCTAATTCGTCATTTTATATCACGAAGTCGCAGACAAATTTCCTCCGGAAGGCGTTGCAAATAACAATTCGTTAACATTATCAAAAAGTTAATGCAGACATCTGCAGCCTTTCTCGAAAGAATGTGAAAAATGTGTCGTGTCAAAATGACAATGTGATGTCGCTGATATATGTCGATGGAAAAGTTTTGTTACCTGGCTGGGGATCCAGGTTACTCGTCAGTAGGTACCATAGAAATGCCGGAGATGGTAACAAAATACTGGATTATAGAACGCGTTATAGGTACTGCTTTGTGGTGGAAATAACGCAACTTTGGTAGATCGAGATGGTGAAGTGTTTAGACTACTTTCCATGAGGAAGAAAATCGGGTTACAAGTTATCTAAATGCCTAGTATTTATTCGTAATTCTATAGATAGTCATCATACATAAAGATAATTTTTGAAGTTCGGTTAAAGCCGCAAATAATTCAATATAGGTAAAATTACTATACCTGGTTTTAATTACTGCATGACATCAATCAGCTCAACATGTTATAGGTACGCCACTTTTATCTGCCTACGGTTGGATAATTCTTCAAATCTCGACATTTCAGTTAATGAAGGAGAAAATCTGCAAACATTACATTTGCAGTTGAAGTCAATTAATTGTTTGATGACGATTAGTTGAAGAGATCGAACATTTCAATTGAAAATTTTAGTCCAAGGTAATAGAGATTGTTGATACAGTTGGTTGTTTATTCATGAAAGATAAAGAAATGTTATTGAAATGATTGATGATGAAATCTTACAAGAAATATTTTTATAATTTGCGATACGCCCCGGCTCCGCACGGGTGTAATGCTGATACTAAATATAAATTCACCCATCAGAAATTCAAGGGCATAGAGAAACAGTGATGAAAAGATAATTACGAACCTACATACAAAATTTCAGCCTCCGAAAATATACCTGTATGGAGGAAAAGTGATGAAAAGATAACCTTATTTTATCAAACGCTCCTTTTTTTCCGCGGCGGGCGCCCCAGATGGAATATTTGAAAATCCTTTCTTGGTGCGAATCTCTAAGACCTAAGAAGCACCTATATACCAAATTTCAGCTTCGCAGGACTTACAGAGAAACAGAGATGAATAATTATATGTAGATGAAATATAAGGTAATAGGTTTATCGTTAAAAAAAACACAGAAATTATAAGTTTAAAACCTCAATTGTTGCTCTAATATGTAGAACACAAACAATCTTTATAAATTGAAGATACGGAATCAAATCATAGGCATATAACATGTAGGTATATATGGGTAGTAAAATTTACTGAATCGGAAACCATTAATCTGTTTAAAAAAAATTCTGTTTTTCCGTTAAACAGCTGTCGCACCCCTACGAACGACAACCCTCAGAAGTTGAAACTTGTGCGAGCTAAGGATTAAGGAGGTCTTACCTTTTAACGTGTGATTCCTAACACGGGTTGGACGATAGCAAGTGAAGATCGATCGTTCAGACTAGGGCTTGAACCACCGACCAACACGGCAGTCAATTAGAGTGAGTGAACAAAGCACCCACGCCGAACCGCTTAGCTACCGACCGACCGAGATTAATAAGATAATAAATTGAAGATGTTTCATTTAAATAACTGAATAAGAAATAATTCCAACAAAAACAATTTGATACACTAGTGTCATCTGTATGATAATAGAAATAACAAATTTCAGTGAAAACTGCAGTACAATTAAATCTTTAAACAATGGTACAATCCTAGCTTTGTATATAGACTATATACAAAGATCCTAGTATACAGGTGCATTTGAAAAAATAAATGCCTCATAAGGCTGCTGAGAGAAAGTAATTAACTATAAAAATACTGGCAGAATTTATTGAAAAAGAGAAAGTAATGCAAATTATGAAATTATAAAACAACAACAAAAAATAAATGGTAGATCTTGATCTGCCAATATTGATTTTCATCTGGCAGGATTCACTAGTTGATAATGGCAAAAAAATAAGTAGTCAAACGAAAAATAGTTGAATTCATCTAACCTAAAACTACTGCGTTAACGTTGAAACCGGTATTCGGTTCAATAATATCAACTTAATGTATTTTCAGAGATGCTCCTTGAATTTAACAGCTATATGAGAAGTTTGCTCTACCAATATTGTTTTTATGGTTACCACATATTGGGCCATATCTTGTATATTTCGAATATGAAACTGAAATCATTCAATTTCCAATGGTCTATTTATCCCTTCGTTTTGCAGAGCGACCTAGTGGCAGTTTTAAAAGTTTAAGTTAACGTTCAATGTTGGCAGCAATACACTGACAACTACCAACAGTGTCAACTACTACAAAAAAATGCGTTTTATGCACAGAACTATAAATCTTGTTCTGTGGTTTTATGTTTTCTGTCATTCATTTTGTGTATTTGTTTTCGTGTTGTTATTACGTTGAGTCTTTGCTTTCAATTAAAAAGTACAAACTTTTTTTTTTGGTATTTCCCTAATGTATAATGTATATTATTGGTAGGGACATTCCAGATAGTCAGGACTGCAAGTTTCACGATGTTTAAAATATAAGTTCAAGTTCTGCAGTGTTCACATTAAGTGCAAGATGTTCAATTAGCTTTCACTTGTTTATTATGAAATGGCAGATGATTGCACAGTAGTGCGATTTTCAAGGGAACCTTCCTTGGCAAAAATCGAGAACTTAAAACCTAGTGACAACGTTGATAAATTCACGGATTCTGGACATTTCGACGTATTTTATGTAGTTTGTATTGCATTATCGATCATAACCTATGTCCTAGATATAGTTTTGGCTTGCTTTTTGCTGTATTTTTACTTCATCAGTGGCCATGGATTATATTTTGCCTTGACGCTAACATTTTTGATCATCCCTGCTTTCTTCATGACGACCTTCAGCTTTCGATGGTAAGTTTTTATTTTTAGAAAATTTGTTTTCCCAAACAAGAGTATTTTTATCACTTGCATCAATGAGAAATATTTGGGCAGAAATATCTGTGAGTGTTCAGGGAATCTAGACACATTCTGCAATATTTGATTGTGGAATGAAAGTTACACAAAACCTTGATTTAGAAATGAGTTTTAAGAATAATTTATATATTTGAAGAATAAGCTTTTGCCTTTGCACATTTTTTTTAAACAAAATACAATATACAGAATACAAATTCATTTATAAATAAAAAAACTAGTATCTGAAATAATTCATAATGGAAACTGTTGAAGTTATTAATTCACTGTGTATTATTTAATCATCTTTAAGTCATTTATTATATAGACATTCAGTTGTTGAAAAGTACTGACTTGACATGTGTTTTGCTAACCAAGTTAGCATCATCAGGATATGACTTGCCTTTTGTTCTGGTGTGGTTCAATGTATTTGTACTTGTTATTGAATGAAACCTAAAAGTTTCAAAAGTTTAATTGGAAGATTCTTCATAACCCTAATTAAATTATCGACTGAAACAATCATTCTTTGGAATTACCAAAAAACTGTTAATAAAAAAAGTGTTCATATACAAAAAATAATAATAGTAATAATAATAATGTCTTCAGTTAACATTAAAATATAGTTATGATTAATAAAAACACATTGATAAATTGATCATAAATGATTTAAACTGAGAAGATCGGGTGATCAGTATACTATATACGATGTATATCAACCTCTATTTTTTATTCTCGAGTGAAAAAAATGGTTTCACGTGGAAACACAGGTTATCGATTCCTCATGACATAAGTTCAGACAGTCAGAAAGAAGTTTACTCAATTTCTTGAATGCTTTCATAATATTGGAATCTGTGGAAAAACATTTTCTTCTAGTTTGTGTCTTTGATATTTCAGGATATTTTCCATTTTTTTTTTTGTAAATTTCCCAATTTCTTCATACAATTGAATAATTGAAATGCCAAAAAGGGTTTATTTTAAATAATTATAAGTTAATACCTTTAGTTATGATTATAATGATTCAAAAAGAGACCATTCTACCATTCAAAATGAAATGTAATTTAATATTTTTGTACTTATTTATCATTAAGCACTTACCATTATCTCCTAATCTATTTTCATAGTTGTTCTCAGAGTAAATTTTGAACTAAGATTGAGTTTTTATGATCAGAAATGTATGATAATAGATTTATTAGTGATATTAAATCTTGCCATAAAATATCTCCAGGCTTAACGATTAGGGGATTTTAAAATTCGGTTTTTTCCAAAATAATTGAAGGTTATTTTTTCCAAATTACCTTTAGTAACTCATGGAATATAGTGTAAAGTTTCAGGTGGTATGATAATGCCAGTTAACATTTTTGTTTATTTTGAAAGACTAACCAACAGGAAAACAGGAAAAAAACAAAAATTTTGGAAAAAAAATTATTTATTTTTCAACATAATCTTCTTACAGCTCTATACACTTTCCCAGTGACGTTCAATAATTTCGATACCGTTTTTATAATGAGAATTTACTCCTCAAAACAGCCATTAACTGCCGATATCACTTCTTCATCGTTAGAACATATTTGACCACTGAGTCATTTTTTTAAGTTCGGGAACTGAAAATATCCCGAGGGGGCTAAATCTGATGAATAGGCTGCAGGAGGTAGCAATTCAATAATTTTTTTAATCGTGATAATGGATTTGTGAGCTGGCACATTATCTTGATGAAACAACACTTTTTTCTTAGCCAACTACTGACGTTTTTGCTCGATTTCTTCACTCAGTAAGTTCGCATAATACTCGCTGTTGATAGTTTTACTGTTTTCAAGACAGTCATTGAGAATTATTCCACCCATCTATGGTTATGAATCGAAGCAAAAATTCTGCTTTTTGCTTCGCCAAACACTCATTGAAACATCTTCAAGATGTTTTTGATTGAGTGTGAGCAAACGCGGCACCCATCTTGCACACATGTCCAAATTTTCAGATAATATATGATGTACCGCATTTTCTGAAATGCCTAAGTCTGCTAGCTCGTCACCTCATTCGGTCGACCACTGCGATGCTCGTCTTAACATTTAAACTCTGCTACCCAATATTTTACTGTTGTAAAGGAAGGAACAGACTCACCCTGAGTAGAATCCAGTTCATCTTTTATATTGGTTGGGCTGAGGCTTTTCATATGAAAGTATTGTACCACATAACGATGGCCAATTTTCTCCATATTCACAAATTTGCTGAAAACATTTGCCATTAATGGCGGCCAGACAAATACTAAACAGCGCAGCGTCTTCAAACTTGAAACATATGCTTTATAGATTGTGTACTTTCCAATACTGTAGTAGTTTTTGAACAACTACTGCCATCTCTATTCTGATCATAAAACCTAACCTTTTTTGTTTATTATGAATTTTTGGAGAAAATACTTTGCTGGCCAGAGAAATAAGACCACCTAAATAGAAAAGTAGATCTTTATTTGCTATCACTGTCACCAATAAGGAAAGTAAAATCTATCAACTTTGGGGTTGGGTTAGGTTAGCTTGGGACAATTTTTGTTTTTGATAAATTTTCAAAAATTTGCAATCTGCAGTTTCTAGAAATGTAAAGAAAATTAGTTTCGAAACCAATTCCGATGGAATCCAGCAAAAAATTATGAAAAATAACAAGAGTAAACTAGGTACACAAATATAAGGGTAGATTGCATTTTTGCCAACATACATCAAGTATCTGGTACAACTCGTGTAAATTTTTAAATATGAACTCGTTATTCCAATTATGTGTCTCATATTTGGCTGATCATTTTCGTGTAGCAAATCAGTTGAACTCTGGAATTCTATATGAAAAAAATTGATGCTTCATGGTAATGTGCAAAAACGTATATTTAATTCACATAGAATATGTACAAATCGAAGATAATAATCATTTCATTATTAGACTAATTAACAGACTCTTTGTAATTCTGTTTCAGGTACATAGTAGACCATGACGATCCTTCCTTGGAACGAGAGTCAGTTACCCAGTGGATAATACGAATAGTGTTCCTACTGTTGCAGCTAACCCCGCTCCTCAGATATGTTGACACCCTCATTTACGGTATACGGAGTAAAATTGCTGCTGCGACCGGCAACGCTGCGAAACATGCTGTATTGTACAGACGTATGTTGGATGAAGACACAAACAGTGCCCTGTTGAGGCTTTTCCACTGTTTCCTGCACTCTGCTCTCCAAGCAATTTTGCAGCTGGTAATCTTGTTGTATCACATCATCCATCGGGAGAAGGCAGCCTTGAATATAAGTGAGTTCCATGAATTAATGGTTTCGATTGCCTCGTTTCGGGGTCAAATGTTGATTGGTCTCAATTGAAGATGATTTTTATCTGTAATGGGAGACAATTGGTGAATTATTATGGATTTTGCAATCCTAATTGGTTTGGCTGATAAATGTCTTCAATAGCAGTAAATTTAATAATGATGAAATGTTGAAATATATGAATGTGTCTTTTTTTAGATGTTGCCGTGCTTCAAGCATGGACTGTATTTGCAGCTTTGATTTCGATAGCATGGTCGCTCACCTCCTATCATCGCTCGGTGCGGCATGCAAGGGACGACAAAGTTAACATCAAATGGGGAGGCGTCGTTGTTGCTTTCTGTTGGCAACTAATGAGTGCTTGTAAGTTGAATAAATATGAGGTATACTATTATATGATACTATGATTATGTAATTAAGTAAGAGACTAAAAATTAATATGTACCTTCGGTTTGGCGATAATGATGAAACGAGCGTCTACTAATAACAACTAGACAATATGCAAACACTTGCTGCTTGAGAATAAATGAGTTTTTTTCATCGATTTTTGTAACCACTGTAAAAACCAATTCAGCTATGTATTACTAAACAGGTCCGTTTTTAAAAAAATGAAGTTGATGATGAAATCTAATGAACGAAACGTCCCATTGCAAATTGGTTCATATCAGATTATAACAAATATGAAACAGTATTGAAAGTTCGTTTGCCTTTTTCTAATATCATTCAAAGTGAAGGTGGTAGAGTCAAAAAAGGAGATTCAACAATTCTAGTTTTTGGTGAATATTTCGAAAACAACCACTAATATTATCGATCTGAAAAGAGATTATTCTGGTTCCCCAAAATAGGGAACTTTTATCCAATTTATTCAACCTTGTTGATCTTGCACTTTCCGAGATAGCAATAGTGGAATTAGGCAAAAAACCTCTGACCTGTTAAGAACAAAACCTTGAAATTGTTTGGGACAGCAGTGAAAAGTGTAGTCTTGAAACATTATATTTCTAATATTTTGACAATGGTTACTCTCATCTTCAGAGGGCTATGAAATGATTATTTATTGCATATCTAACTGGTGTTCGCAAAATGGCATGTGTTTGAATGCATCCAAATGCCAAATTCTTCGCTTTCATCGAACACATCACCCAATCACTTTCGAATATAGTATAAATAATCGGACCTTACATTCTGCTATTGAAACCAAAGATATAGGTGTGATCCTAGACTCCACACTTAGCTGAAAATCACACATTTTCGCTGTAATTCAAAAATCTATGAAGATGCTTGGCTTCATAAAAAGAACCATTCGTGATTTCACCAACATCACTGCTATTAAATCTCTTTATTTTTCCCTGATTAGATCTCATCTTGATTATTGTTCCACAGTTTGGTCCCCTCATTACATTATACAAAAAGTGAAACTCGAGGCTGTACAGCACAATTTCCTGTGATATATTGCCTTCAAGATGCATGTTTACTATGACTATACTGTATTGGAATGCATTTTGAATATACCTTCTCTTGAGGCTCGCAGAAAACATTGAGATTACTACTTCTAATCAACGGACTGTGTATCAGCCCCAAGCTTCTCTCCAAAATATCTTTACATGTCCCCAGTCGTTCAACTAGACAAGTGCAAACGTTTCACGTTTTTTTTTAACAGATTCAATTCTTCATACAACAGCTTTATTCCCAGAACTCTTCGATTGCTTAACTCTTGAAATAGCCTTCAATATATCAGTTTCCCGCTTTAAAAACCTTATTCTTCACCTAGCCATTTAATACTCTCTGCTTGTGTTGTTCTATTGTGTCTAGTGTTACTTGCCTGTAAGAATTATATTAGTTCATATTGTCATAGATTGATATAGACAGACAGATACTTTATTGTCCCAGAAAATACAATCTTATTGACAAAGCTTGGTAAAAAATCTGGTATGTATAGCACTTCAAAGAATAATAGAAAAGAAACAATTTAAAAACACAAATACCCAGAAACACAATTTGAGCAAAACTAAGTTCACAAATAAAATTTAACAAAGTACATTTTAATTTTTCTTAAATAATCTACTTGTTATCTTACGTTGAAATTATATTATTCTTATAATTTACTTTTAATCCACTGTATTGCATCAAGTACTACATAGCACTGTACTACTTATATCTGAATTTGGCTTGCCCGTGTATATACATAAATAAATAAATAAAAGTGGAAAAGTTGAAGTTGTGTTAATACTTTCAATTTGAATGCGAATGTCTAGTTGTTGAATCATACAATGATGAAAATTTTTTACAAAAATGTAATAACACACATGAAATGACATATACCTACCTAAAAATTACATAATTCTTTGATAATGATCTAAATAGCTGAAATTTTTATTGCGATTGTATGAATTTGATATTTCAATTATCTAGAAATAGGTCAGTGTCGACCATATCAGTTGTCGTTCAAAATTGGCTGTGCTGTTCTCTTCCAAACTTTAAATGACAATTGACTTACGTATACATACGTCCTCGTATGTATCTGTCGAAATAGTCTTTGATGTATCTTTTTTTGAAACACATCAGGCTCGTTTTGTTTTCATTTAGAATGGAATACATACTTTTCTGAGTTTTTTTTTACTCACTTGAGAATTTTAAGAACAGTTTTGTTTTTTTTTTATAGGGTCCCGAGTATTGGCTCTCAGCCTTATCGCGACAATATTTCCCGCTTGGATGGGCTGCGTTTGTGCTCTGCACTGGGGCGTGATGTTCATCTGGCTAGCCCTGGGACAACACCAAACAGCTGCTTGCAGCAGCCGGTGCGAGGAACTCCTGCTCTCTGTAGCCTTAGGCTTCGCTTACGTGACGGCCTTCATCTCGCCCCGAGACGGTCCGTCGAGATATATCTACCTCGCCTACTACCTGGTTTGCTTCATGGAAAATACTGCCGCCCTGGTGGTGTGGTGCGTGGCCAATAACTCTGCAGATAATCCTGTGCTCTACTACGGAGCCGCCGGTGGGCAGGTCATCGCATTTTTAATGGGTATCGCATTTTTATTTATTTACTACAGGTATTGCCATCCTTCTCTGATGAACAGGTCGAAAATTCCCAGCCTGGATTCAGATTATCTGGAATCGGAATGTCCGGGTTACAGCAAGTCTTACAACGTTAGATCGAGATCTTGATCGTTGGTTTATGTCTGAAAAGACAATGGAAATGATACGTTTGAGGTTAGATTTATTTGGGTATTTGCAAGAGTCAAGGGTTTACACTTCAGAAAGTAGATTCCTCTTCTGAAATCTGTCAGATAAATGTAGAGTGATGATGTAGGATTTCTTCTTTGAGATTTGAAAGCAATGTTACATCACACTCTTTCAGAAGTGGGGTGTATGGGCTGTCCATCAACCTCATGTATGGAAATGCTTGTGATTACTAATGAAGAAATGACTAATGATAATTTCACACTTTGTTTTATTCAGCTAGAGCATTCTATACTTTTAAATAGCAAAGAGGCTGTTTCACTTCATAAATTTCTACAAACAAAAACAATAGATCAAAAAGAGAGAAAACTTTTTTTATATTCAATCTTAGTTTTGTCAGAATCAACAAATAAATGGTTAATATATTATGGAAAAGGCACCAGAATCGCACTTGTTGCCTGCTTCCATCTTAAATGACAATATTGTCATCAAAACAATTTTTTTTGATCATCTGGCTCCTTGGTACATCCAAAGTCCACCTCATTGAATAATTTAGACTCGAAAATGTTCCTCCTGGGATTTTTTTTTTCCTTTTTTGCATTGGAAATGAATGCTTAAAGAATATAGATAAGAAAGTAGCCATTATTTTGTGGTATTCATTGCATTTCTTTCAAAAATTAAATGTGAGATATTCAAGAAACTTTTACTAAACTGTTTTACAAAAATGCAATATGTGTTTCGCTATACAATGGCTCCATCAGGCGTGTCTTCACGCCTGAAAATATATTATGCAAAATCGAACTTTGAAATTGGTACATGTATGTCATTATTTTTCAAGACAGCTCCCAACTGTCACAAAATCTTATGTACTTTTGAAGTGTGAAACAAACAGATAAATCTCCCCTAGATAAAGAAAAATGACTTTCCTTGCAGATATCCTTCAAAGTGTTTGATAAGACTTTCCGAGTTTCATTAATTCAGCATCCTGAGAAAATGCCTTCAAATTATGCGAGAAATTTGAATATACAGTGGAGTCCCGATAGTCCGAAACGATCGGGACCGGACCCATTTCGGATTAACGAATATTTCGGATTAAGCGAAATCATGACCAAAATTAATGTTATAATGAAATACAATGTATATTTATACAAAATGGGATATACAATAGTCATAAGCACAGTTTATTTTGTTTTATCCGTCTAAAACTTACACATTATGTTTATGAAGTGCGTGACGAGTGAGAAATGTTCCTCATACAGTAATAAATGTTGTTTTCTATGTTGTATCACAGTTCAAAATACGCTCAAAATACGCTCAAATTGTTCTGTTCTGTTAATTACACTTATCTTTGTACATACTGTAATCCTTAGTATGTATATATTGCAATACATTTCTTCTACTTTTCTTTCGGATTAAGCGGACTTTCGGATTACCGAAGTTCGGATTATCGGGACTCCACTGTATGACAATTTTTGTACTTTCCTAACTAATATCACATGTTCTTATGAGCTGTTGATGTTTGGTAAATAGAATACTACATTATAGGTACTGTCTGATCAAGAATGTGATATCCAACTAATAATTTTGACAACAATTCGTCAACTTGATCTACTGTCTACAGTTTTAGATGAAGTTCTTGATAAAACGTTGTGAGATGTCTTATGAATATCGTACTGATTTTTACACCAGCTTAAACAGTATTTTTAGATCTGTGGTATATAGAAATGTATTGATGTATAACTGTGTGCACAGAACAAATTTCATGCTTGCAGTGAAAGAGATGCCATACCCCCAAACAAATAAATTTAGTATACATTTTTGGCAGTCATACAGTTTTTTAATATTACAGAATTATTTTTTCAATTGGAAACCGAGACGACTTCTTTTTGAGGTGAAGATAATATAAATGAAATTTTTTGTGTTATTATTTACATGTCTTGTTTTATCTTGTGAGCATGAATGACTTTGGATCATGATCGTGTTTGTATTTAGGTGTTGTACCCCACTTCTAGGCGCCTACTAAAACGTTACAGCCAGGCAATCAGCTTCTATTGAAGTTGCTGATAATGAAACAGCCTGTCCATTCTCTGCATGAGATTCAAACGTAGTGATTCTGAGAAAAATCAATGTTCAAACGGTGTTGAATAATACATTTCAAAAATACAAGTTGATAGTATTAAAAGGTCTTTGAATCCAAGACTGCCAAGTGCCAATTCAACTTTTGTGTCTAATGTTGCCTTAACTGTGAGTAATTTGAGAAAGGTTATAAATATTGTTAACACTTCAAATTTTATGATTGTTTATTGTTAATGGTTTTGTTACAGATTAGGTGATATTGTAAATTGTCTTGATATTGTTTCTGATAAATTATTGGACAGATTTAGGAACAAAGTTGAAGATAAAACGACTTTTTCATTGTTTTTTCAGTGTTATATTTACAGTTGAAAAAATTCAGTTATTTTTTTTTTATACCAAGTTCAGTGCAGTTTTTTTGGTAGAGAATAAAATCTATTTCAGAGGGTTTTCATAATAGTTGAAATTTTGTGGTTTTCAACTTGCAGAAAAATTTATTTCATATGAAAATGAAGTTGAAATTTAAAAGAATATTTGTTAGAGGTGTTTCCTAGTGATTATTATATTTGAAATCTAAATGGTATCAATATCAACTATTTTTTTTCATTGGTCTTACAAAGTATTATGCAACGTTCTGGTCTCAAAATTTAGTACTTTAATAACTTGTAATTGCCTGGGATATTTAAATCCTGAATTTATAAGGGAACAATACTCGTATACATGTACAAGTGTTTATATTTTATATTATATTTGAAAATAGTGTAAAAATGCAAAATATTGTAAATATCCTGTTGTTTTTTTAAATTAAATTGAAAAAAAGAGAAAATTGTTTATTTCTTACCACCTCCATTTAGGAAAATAAAAAAGTGAAAATTTAATAATAGTAATTATAAATGTATTGATCCCAAGAAATATTACATGTTTATAGTAGGGACAATGTAACATACATATTGGAAGGAAAAAAGCAATATAGAGAATAGTACAACAAAAAATTTAAAACTAAAAAATTGTCAATCTATTCCAAAATATATTCTTTCATAATACAATTCCATAATAATAGGCACTAAATTCTCAGAAATATAATAGCATTAAAACAAAAACATTGTTATCAAGGTTACGATTCTATATATTTTATCATTATTTTCATCTGTTAGAATTTCTGTTCGCCACTGCAAGAGACAAATCAAGGCAAAAACGTCATAATTTCTAAGAATTTAGTGCCACCTATTTTGGAATTATAGTAGTTGTGTCTTGAATTTTGTATATTCAATATGTTTATATTGTTAGGTATTTTTTATATACTCAACTTATCATGAAAAATACATTTTTGGCATGTGGTTGGGAAGCTATCTTTTGTATTCCTCATGTATTATGATCATGAATTGAATTAATTTCTGATTCAGCTAATATATACGTTTTATAATTTTATTTTGTAACCACTGTAAAGGTTTCAAATGAGAGGAATTTACTGTTGCTAATGTTGAACCTTTTTAACTTTGTAACTCTTATGAACAGGTTCACTGGATGAATCTAAAACTCTTTTTGGACTTTTCTCATCTTCTTCTAAACTGTCAGAGTCTTCACAGACTAGTTCATTATCTGAAACATTGTTTTAAATTGAAAAGGTGAAAAACAATAAATAAATTGTTAACCTCCTCCACTGCTCTCATTGTTCACTAACGTAGTCAAGTAATCATTAATATTTTTCTGGAATGTTTTCATGGAAGTTCTGAATATTTTCCAATCCTGTACACTTGTTTCCATATTGAGTTCTTCCGTTTTCTCATCATTTTTCAATCGAAATTTAAAAGTGGCCATTTCTACTTATAATTACAAACGTCACAACTCAAAATGGAATTTGCCAAATTAATGAAAACCCCTCTAAACGAACCCTAAACCCTAACTCACATGTAGCAAACAAAACAAAATATGAAAATAAATAATAGGTTTTTCATAACCTAAAACATGCCGAATTTTTGGTTAGTTCGTTGCTTTGATCAGGTTAATATCATTTCTAATTATTATTAGAACAAAACATTTATTTCAAAAATGACTGTTACAAAAAGTGAACAGCGATGGAAGAAATCACAATTTATATTTCTTTGGATTGAAGGGGTTATATTTTTAGGAGTGATTAATTTTTGGGAAAGAATTTTTTTTTTATTTTTAAGGACTTCGACTTGGTTCTAATCAGGAACTGAAAACTGTGTCAACCCAGAAATTGAAATTGTACTGAATTGCCGTTCAATTGCACTACCTATTGTCATTGAACTTTAAAATAATATAAGTTTTGTAAATCTATAATCATACTAGTGACATAAGTGCTATTTTCAGATCGAAACGGAATCTCAAAAACTACTCCTCAACGATTTGATCTTCACAAACTTTAATTGAAAAATATATCACAACATGTTTGGCTATGCTAGCAAAACATGTGATATATTTTTCAAATAAAGTTTGTGGAGATCAAATCGTGAGATATATTTTTCAAATAAAGTTTGTGGAGATCAAATCGTTGAAGTGTAGTTTTTGAAATTATTATGGATCTTCATTAAGTAACGGCCGAATCAATCAGAAAAGTAAACGAAATTGCTTAACTTATTACCAAATTATCTAAATATTGGTACGAATATAAAATATCGACTGGCAACCCTGAGCGTAGCTGTCATTTGCTTTCGGAACTTGGAACCAGTGAAGTAATAATAAATTTGGACAGGCCATTGAAGAGAGAACATTGACTCCAATAACTAAAAAAAGATAAAGAGATCTGCGTCCTGGTATTTACGTCACTCATACACCCACGTCAGATACAACGTCACGATATTTCACGTGTTGCATATTTCCATGTGAAAATCTTGAGCTTTGATTTGTCACAACGCTGTGACGCAGTGGCCAAGAGCTTGTGTGATCCGCAGGTTGAAATATATGTAAAAGTGACGTCACACCCGGTCTTAGTATTATCACTTCTATGTTCGGAACTGCTGTACTAGTACCGGCTTTTGAAATGAAGTGTTTGTGTACAAATAATGTACCATGATAAAAATGACTTCAAATTAATTCATCAAACCTAAATTGAATAAGTGCACCTACTAATTTATATTTATTTGTCATCGGTCCGAAGCTTGAGTAGTGAATACGGAAAACACTGGTAGTTTTATCACTATACAAATGCAAATTAACCTAATCTGTTTGTCAGTGCTATCTTATCATAATGAAATTCATAGTCGATTCATGGAAAACATTGATTGATAATTTATAATTTGTTATTTATGTAAAGAAGTGTGAGTCATGTAATAAGGAAGAAAAATGAGTAGAACAATAAAAACAGTTTTCTTTGTGGTACTGTTTGCTACCAGCCTAGGTGAGTGTGAATCAAACCAAAAAGTATTCATATAACTTTACTCTCATTCAATTTATTTGTCTTAGGTGATAAGAAATGTGATTTTACCAGCTTGCTTCAGCAAGAATGTTCAGCTAATGAGTCGTGTGATGAGTCTAATACTTGCCGATGTCTACCTGATTTTGAACTGAAAGACAATATTTGTGTCCACAAAGTGAACAATGATGCCAATTCTGCAAATTATTCCGATCTGGTTGATAACCAAGGAAGTGGGTCTCTAGCTGCTGGAATTTTAGTTCCTCTCTTTTTAATAGTATTTGTTATGTGTGGTTTATATCTAACTAGGAAATACAACCTCGTTCATTGGTTCAGAAACCGATTTCTTAGGAGAAATGAGAACTATGATGAATTCATGATAGGTCATGATCTTGATGACGACGATGAACCTCTTCAGTAAATATGATTGTAAAGGTACTTGATGAAAGCCATTCCTAATTTCATATTCGGTTCCATGATAGGATTGTAAAACATTACTGTGACTACAATTGTTGCTATTGCATGCATATTAACAGTGAACAATATTTGTATGTATTATACTTGGGCTAGGTTCCGATAATTAATGTTTGATGATCTTTTTCACTCGATACTGATTTTTCGCATTCCCCAAGTAATGTTGTTATTGTTACTGATAGAGGTCTCAAAAAATGTTCTACCAAAAATCTTTCATATTGAGAAATCTCTTACTCAGGGGATTCCCCAGATTTCCATTCAAAATGAAATTCTAAAGTTTTTGTGAAGGTCATCTGTTGATAAGATCTGCTTCAGTTGATACTCAAAACCAGTTCTAGCTGTGCCATATAAAAATTCAAATCAATCTCTTTTGAAATTGATGGCCGTAGGGTTTTGATAGTTTGCAGGTTTCAACATGAATGAAAATCATCTATTTTGAATCTCGTATATTTATTGTTTCACTGCTAAGTGAAGTTTTCATAGATATTTGGTTTTCAACACAAATAGAGAATGCTGGTACATCTAAATTGCAAATTTATGATTAGCAATTTTTTTATAAAATAGATGAATATTTGTGTGCAATGAACAATGTTTTCTGAAACCTGAAAAAAATCTAGAGCTTTTTGAAATGGCTTAATATTTCCTCCAAGAGGAAAATGTGCCTAATTATAGCCAGTATCTGATGTGATTTTTAATTTTTGCTCATTCAAAAACGTAGTATTTGAAAGACTTTGCCATTTTTATTTTTAGATGTTATTGTACATGTTAGAAAGAGTTTTGTATATTTGTTACTTTCCTGAGTTAATGTATATTGACAAGTACAATCCGTGAACCAAAGGATATTTTACTATGTAAGTAATGAAAATAAAACGCTAATTTATTACTCTTTAATTTTTTGTGGAGGGAAATCAGTTTTTCATTGAAGATATTTGCAGCTATTCCTTTTTGATTATTTATTTCTTATAAAAATGCAAATATCTTAGAATTTTTTTGTCCATTTCTGAAGAAGGAGGCAGATTTTGGCCTCTGAAACGTAAAGATTGTAGAAGGTAACAAATACCCCCAAAAAAAAAGGTTGATGAAAAACTTTATACATATTTTGTTTTTAGATAATACATTTCATTACTTTATAAATAATAAACGGCATGTCTACAATAATAATAAGTTCTACTCTGGTCAATTTGGAGGGATTTTGCTCATATACCAAAGTTCCAAGTATGTTCGAAGTTGCTCAATAAAAACGAATATGTAGGAGTAGAATCATGTCTGTAGGTGATCTTTTCGAATAATTTCAGCATTATATTGCTGATGGGTGAACAAGAAACATCTGTGAGACTAACCTGCGTGAGGTATCTGGCATAAATGTCAGTGTAAAAAAATCTGTTCAAAATCTGTTTTTTCGTTAACCAGCTGTCGCACCCCTACGAACGACAGTCCTCAGAAGTCTAAACTTGTGCGAGCTAAGGATTAACGAGGTCTTACCTTTTAACGTGTGATTCCTAACACGGGTTGGACAATAGCAAGTGAAAATCGATCGTTCAGACTAGGGCTTGAACCACCGACCAACACGGCAGTCAATTCGAGTGAATGAACAAAGCACCCACGTCGAACCGCTTAGCTACCGACCGACCATCTGTCTGATATAATTAAATATCCAGTGTGGTATTAGCCGGTAACTAGTTCTCCGGCAGGCATTTACCAAATCCTACGGTGTAGGTAGTTGGGAGGGACGAATTTTTTTAAATTTCTTGTCAAAATATTTATTTTTTTATACATATGATCTCTTCTCAATAACGTCTTCAGATACGATTTAATCTCTGTTGAAATATTCTTTTTCAGGACAAATATATGAGTCAGAAATGCTTCATTGTCATAAAAGTTTAGGTTTTGTTGACAAAGCAGGCTTAAGAACTAAAACAATCTAAAACATTAACAGAAAGGTCAAGAATTCAGAACAAGATATTAATATGGCTCAAGCACACTTCAAAAAGTTTATGGTAAAAGTCTGTGATAAAAAATTTNTCAGGTGACGCCAAATCAACTGGTTACCAACAACAGTATTTTTACATCTCACGCGTTTTATTTAAAGTTATTGCTGGTGTTTAATGAAAAAAATCGTGTTGAAAATACTTCTAACACTAGTGTTAAAAATAGAGAGATATTGCAAATTCCGTTAGCGCATGCGGTGTGTTATTTACCCCGCGTTAAATATTACGTTTACGTCTAAATCTCTCTAATATTTTTAACAGACTACTTTGTAAACCATTGAAAATGTCACTTTAAATGACAGTTGTAAAAAAACATATCTTAGGACAGAAATAAACTCAAATCTGTCCTAAAATATAAGTTTGTTTTTATGAGTTCTGTGGTTGTACTGCGTCAGCATGTCACTTGTCTCTAGTGTCAAATTTGGGGGTTACTTTTATTTATTTATGAAGTGAATTTTCCAAAAGTGGATGATAATATTTCCAACTAAAAGGAAATAGACTATTTTTAAAAGAAAACTTTGAACATTCAATATAACGATATTTTCATTTTCGGGTACTTTCCGAAACAATATGCCTCGACGTGGAGGAGTAGCCAAAAAAGATGGACCTGAATCAGGGGAAGATTCTGATGAATACAGGAAAAGAAGGGACAGAAACAACCAGGTACGTATTGATAATTTTACCGGAAACATAAATCGTCAAATTTACTAATTTCCAAAGGCTGTGAAGCGAAGCAGGGTGAAATCGAAACAGAAAACACAAGAAACAGTTCATCGCGTAAACAAGTTGAAAGAAGAGAACACAATCCTAGAAGAGAGAGTGAAAACCCTCACCAAGGAGTTGGGCTTCTTGAAAGAACTCTTTCTCGCTCATGCATCCAATAGTGTGGACAAATCCAAATTTAGTGATGTAGACCTACAAAAGCTTGTGGAAGACACCAGCACTCCCGGTGGAAGTAACACTTAGTTTCACGAGTGATGTGTGTATCGGTGAGAGTTCAGACTGAGGAAATAATTGAGTTTCTTCCTTGATCCTTTTTCAACACTCAAGGTTCACAGGTGGTACCTGAATGAAAAAATGAGATTTATCTGCCGAATTATTTCACAAATTGAACAGGGGCATGTATATTTGGATATTCAACAGTATTTCCAATATGAGATAACAGTAACACCAAAAAGTGATAAACTTCAGGTACTTATTGAAAGTTCACACAAATAGATGAATATAGTAATGAGTTATCCAAGCAGTGTAAATGATTGTGTTTAGGAAGGATAAATAGGTACTCTAAGGAAAACCAATATTCAATGATTCATGTTTTGTTTGTGGAACTAAAAAAAAGCATATGAACCTGGGAAATGTTTATTCTGGCAGTTGCCCAACAAACAATCTTAATGTGTAAAAGAGCTGCAGAAGAGAAATTGAACTGAAATATTTTCTTATAGTATTGAGTCACTCACTATACCTTAGTATAGAATTGGAAGAATGATTTCTTGTTCAAGTTAAAATCTTAGCATTGAGGAATTTACATTCTATCACTCTTCTGTTTATTCAAAACGAGTTATAATCATTATTGAATTAAATATTATTTGGGTGTTCCTGAATGCAATGTAAATAATTGATGGGTGATTTTGAGAAGATTTCTGAAGCTATGAAGGTCAAACTTGACAAGACAACCTTCCGTTGTTGATTTACACGAAACAACTGAAAAACTGAACTTTCTACAATGTGGTAATTTTTTGCCATACTGACTCTTGACGCTTCTGTTTTTTATGAGATCAATGGCTACTTTTCCTGGAAATACACCCTTCCCATTTCTTCCAAATTTGTGAGAGATAAATATATAAAAACAATGCAAACTAATAACTTCCTCAAAATTATTGAAAAGTTATGGACATTTTTACAATTCATAAAGATAATGGTTTTCATTTCATTCCTAAGTTCATAAAATTCATCTATAATGATGTAAATCATAATAAAATGGGTAAGAGTTGGATTTTGCAACTAAGTCCTCATCGTTGTCAGGGATGGTTATGTTATGTACATGGAATATTTCAGAAACATTAGAATTTTAACATGTTCTCAAAATTTGTTCCTTTATAAACATACTGAACAACTGCAATATGTTGTCTTACTATAAAATAGCTTCTTTGGGCGAGTTTATAAATATATCTATGTGAATAAACTATGCCTGAAGAAACTATTGTGAAGTGAAAAACGTGTTTCGATCTTGTATATCAGTTGGTAAATACATTTATCATGTATTTTCAAGTATTGGCCAATTCCAGAATAATATAATGTAAGAGTAATGTCTACTGTAGAGGATTTTTTTAATATGAATCCTTTATTCACTCAAATCAGTTAATAAGATACCCGTACATTATAGAGTGCTTTGTTTGCCCACTGATTAACTATAAGTGAGAAAAATGAGAAATGGACTTCACAAAAGTTCATAATTATTTTTCAGGATTCCCTCCCCTGTTGAATATTCAAATATTTATCACCAGCAAATATTACATAGAAAATATTGACACGAGAAGTTTCTGGTGAAATAATTTTTCAAAGCATTTCTAAATAGCTTTATCAAAATATTTTGTATTCAAGAAAAGTTTATCATTAGTTTATGAAATTTGAGAGATTGTGTTATTCTGGTTTCTCCAGAAATAATATATTTTGAATAATTTGTAAGTTTTGTTGTATACTCTTTTTTTTTTTAATAATGTGTTATCTTTTTGTATATTTGTAATTGATTCATATTTTTTAAAGAACTTAAATTTATGAAAAAAATTAATAAAATTGTTTTGCAAAAACTCAACATTTATTCCTAAAAATACGTCAATAAAAAAAATACCACTCTGTAACTTTTCCATTTCAATTATTCTGTAGTTCTCATATTATTTTTAATATATTGAAGTATTTGATGTAAGTAGTCCCTTTTCCCATTTCTGTCCAAAGTGTCCAATTCCAACCAGGCGGCAGATTCCTGTAATCTTACTGTTGCAATAAATTTAAAAAATACCGCAGCCCCATCTTCTGAAATTTTCAGCTTTTTTAAAAAAGTTCCTTCAATGTTGTCTTCGTTAGTTCTCTTGATCGGTCGTTTCATTTCGCATTCGCAGCCTTCCACTGAGATAGGGCTTCTGGAGTCTTCCTCTGACAATTCTTTGTCATTATTGCTTTCCTCAATGGAATCCAAACTGTCTCCCGCTTCTCTCAAACTGTCTCCCGCTTCTCTCAATTGTTTTCGTCTTTTTCTTCTCTGATTAGACCAAGTATTGGAGAAGGCTGATATGAAATAACGCCGAACGCTCTTGTTTCTGGTAACCTCTTCTACTCCCATTTGTAATCCTTCAAACAGCTTCAGCAAAACATTGATAACATTGATGAACTCTTCTTCATTTATTTCTTGAAGGTGTATTTCATGCATCACTGGCGTATTAGGTTTTGGCTTTCTTTCATGAAGTTTTGAAGGGTCGTAGCACTTTTTCAAGTCAATGTCTTCACAAAATGTCCAAGCAAGTCCCCATCTTGTGGTGTTACCTTGACAAAATTCAGTATCTTTGAAACTGCACACCTTCGCTTCCCTCAAGAGTTTTTTTAGCTGAGGTAAGGATCGCTTATGTCCCATCATGGTAGTATATATTTTAACCTTTTTCCCCAATTGTTTGCTTTCGTTTATTAATCTAGTTATAAAGTCGATTTCTCCACCTTGCACTACTACTTCGTTCACTGAGGCACAAAAGCTGTTTTTGGGCTTGGGTCTCGACAAATTTCTAGAATTGAAGCTGGGGTGTAATTCCTGCGTGCTTCCAAAAAATGGGGGGTTGCACATGCAAAAATCATATTCTTCGTCATGTACAACTTCTTGCAGTAAACAGTCTTTCTCAACTTTCAATACCGTTATCAAATTCTGCAGTTTATTTTCTTCCACATTACTTCTTGCAATCGTTGCACTAGCTTCGTCTACTTCTGTTGCCAACATAAACCAATTATTTTTTCTAGCAGCTAAAAGTGGATATACACAAGATGCTCCAGTTCCGATATCGATTCCCCTTACTTGTTCCTCTGTCTTAATGAAACTTAAAAGATCCTCCAGCCACAAAATATAGTTCAGTCGCAAAGGTATAGTAGGAATCAGTTTATTCAAGGGAATATTGACACTTAGGTCGAAATCTTTTTTCAGTAAGGTACATGACAGGCTACGCAAAGCTTTGATATCTTTGAAATCTAGAGTTACTTTTCCAGTGATGTCTTGTTTAACGTATTGTCTAAAATCTGGGAATTCTAGCGCAAGCTGTTTGAAATCTGGAGGTGATTTGTAAATATTTCGTGGATGCATATATTTGTTCACAGCCATCATAAATTATTAAATAAAAAACCACTGAAACAAACAGCGAATTCAAAATATAAAAGTTAGGTTGGTTTTATTTTTGATCAGTGTTACCAAACTAAAAACGAGCAGAGGCAATACACCAAGATAACCTATGAAACAAAAAAACTATCACCAGCATAAAAAATGTTTGCTTTTGAGAGTCATATCTTCGAAAGTATAAACATTTTTACTGGTGAATACTATGTTACTCTGGAAGACAAAAATTATTATAGTGTTTATTAATGTTCTCAGCAAAATATCCTTGACAATGACATTTATAGTGGATTCAAAAAAATCGCTACATATTTTCGTTTTCAATCAAAATTTCATTCGATTCAACAAAGACTGGCACTGATGAATAATAAATTTCACTTATTTTATATCATCGGGACATCTAACGAACGGATTAGGTGGCGTATTCCATCTTTTCACTTTCCAATCATTTCTTTCGTAATCCCAATTAGATGTCAAACCTAGTATCGGATCTGCTTGCATATCTATCATCCTTCTCATCTGCGCTCTCACATATGATGGTTTGAAAGTCTCCGGTAAGTCCGAATACACACATAATTTCAAAAAGATAAACAACCAAACCCCAAGCGAGCATCCAATCAGAACAAGTCCCGCTACGCCCATCCATTCTCCGCTAGACGGAGCTTGAAATTCTGCGAACGTTAGGCAGAAATTGGCTCGATATAAAGTTTTCTTCTCTTCCTTAGTTAGGCGCTTCCAGTCTCCTTTTTGCTTTTCATAAAGGGCCTTGATTTCGGGAGTGGATTCCTGGTAACGGATTGCTGGGAACGGAAAAGCCGCTGTATCTACATATATGGGTTGTCCATTCATTCCGTAACCGACCATTTCTCGATTCCCAATTCTTTCGAGCCAGTATGCGGATCTGTTATTCATATAGCCCATGTTTCTCTGTATTCTATAAATACTAGAAACTGCTCTCAATAGAGACATTTTTGAACTGTCTGTTACTGTCAAGGTCTCTTTTGTTTTCTTTTATTTTTCATACTTTTTCTAGTGGTCGATTACGACCATGGATTTGAGTGATGTGTTGTCAAACCGGTCTAAACGAGAAACTTTTAGACAATGAAAGCACAATATAAAACAGTTTCTCCTGGTATACAAAAATTTTGAATGCCCACATTGAGGCATTGTAGAGTAGATCATTCAAAGTGAGTTTGCCTCTTTGTTAGGCAGGCAGTGGTTTACTATTAGACCGCAAGTCCATGCTGAATTTTAGTTGAAATAAGTTTTAGCCTTATGCCGTCGGTTTTTGTGTGATGCACGTGAAAATATTGGAAAAATGAGAACAATAACTCAAGCGGTAGGCGAGTAATTTGCCAAAAGTTTCAATACGGCTTTCATAAATATAGTATTTTGAAAAATAAACCCCGATGCAAATGGGTTGACTGCAAAAATCCTTTTCAGACTATGCTTAATCGAACTTTCACAAATGAATCATTTAACGAACACATTTTTTACTAATCGAAAGTATGAAGCTTACAGAATATATAAACGTTGATTTGAATGGGTTATATTTTTAGGAGTGATCATTTTTGGAAAAGGAAGTTTTTGGCTTTCTACTACTCCATCTGATACAAAAAAATGGATGAGAGAATCTTCCAAAGAAAGGAAGGAAGTAATCAATTTGAAAATAAGTAACTATATACATGGATGTGTAGATCATGCAAAGAAGTAACTTTCAGACACAAACTGAAAGAAAGTCCTCCTCATATAAACAATGTTTATATGAAAGTAGCTGTTTCAGGAGGACTTTCTTTCAGTTTGTGTCTGAAAGTTACTTCTTTGCATGATCTACACATCCATGTATATAGTTACTTATTTTCAAATTGATTACTTCCTTCCTTTCTTTGGAAGATTCTCTCATCCATTTTTTTGTATCAGATGGAGTAGTAGAAAGCCAAAAACTTCATTTTCCAAATATAAACGTTCTGTTGGTGATTTCTTTCATGGGCAACTTTTGAGTTAGCAGGTATAAACGGGTAAGATAACATCTGTTTAATAAATAAATCTTTCATAAAAATAAGTGTTGTTTAATTGCGAATACGATGATGGTGGCTTGCGAAAAATTTGGCCTGAATGACGGTTGGTGAGTTTAAAAAAGCGAAATGTTGATGAGAGGAAAAATGTCTGACAAGAGTCCGGGCGAACTGTGCCGTATGATACAAATCATAGGTCACAACTAGTTGTGATCTGTGATATTAATAGACACAATATTGCTGCAAGCGATGACACAGTAGAAAGCACAGAGTTTTGTTTACGTTTTTATTTTCAGTTAGTTTCTTTTTATCGTATTGTAAAGAATCCATACGCTATATAAATAAATCGAGAAGGATAGTGATAGACTAGTAAATACTGATTATCTTGGAACAACTTGCGGTAAATTTGAAAATGAACATTATAAATAATTTAAGACTTACCCAGAACCCAGAAGTAAATTTTTTTATGATGAAATGAAAATTATACATAAATAATGTTACAGAAAGTCGTAAAAATTATATATTTTTTGGCTTATTTGCTTAACAAAAATTGTTTAAAGAAATAATGAAAAGATAACATGTCGACAATTGAACAACTCAGAAGTGCAATTATTTCAATAATTTTCAAAAAATTTATTCCAGATAAATGCTAAATTTAACAATATTTCGTCATGCTTTCATGACAAATGAAATGTTGAAGATATATTTACTATTACTAAAATCAATACTACTACTAAATTGTCGCCTCGGATATACCGATAAATAAGCAGTAACCGAAGATGCAACCGAAAAGAAGGAAGAATTAACAAGTGCTCAAAAACACGAATCAATCAAATTAACCTAACCAATAGAAACTAATCCCGAACAATGTATCTAGTAAGTATGCCCTGTGAGGTCCAAGAGCATCTTCCACCAGAAACGATGGAACTAATCAGAATAAGACGCCTGAAAAGACAGTACCAAAGGACACGTGCACCTATGGACAAAAGGTGCGTGCAGAGAGCAAATAGCATACGGAAAGAAGAGCTGAAAGCGATCAGAGAAAGACAATGGACTACCCGTCTGGAAGAACTGAGCACAGAAGATCGATCTGCATGGCAAATGCAGAAAAAACTCAGAAATGGACCTCGACGATCCTGCCCACCGATACACGGCGAGCAAGGAATTGTCTACACTGACCAGGAGAAGGCGGAAGCATTCGCGGACAAATTCGAAAGGCAGTGCAGAGAGAATGACGTCCCGTTCACAGACGAGGTAGACGAAATAGAGAGACAGGTGAAAAGAACGGTACGGAGGCTTAGACAACGGACAGATAATGCGCAACCCCTGGCCCCGACATCGCCTGAGGAAGTGAAGGATATTCTGAGACGTCTTGCCACTCGGAAAGCACCAGGCCCAGACAATATAATAAATCGACCACTGAAAGTGCTGCCGCGAAAGGGTATAGCAGCCATAACCAACATCATAAATGCTATACTCAGATTGTAACACTTCCCGTACCCGTTCAAAGAGGCAACGGTAATCCACATACCGAAGCCCAAGAAGAACCACCTGTTTCCAGCGATCCACCGGCCAATTAGCTTACTGCCATCCGTAAGCAAAGTGGCGGAGCGTGTCATCCTGAAGAGGCTGGAAGAACAAACTAGACAGTTAGGGATCCTCCCCGACGAACAATTCGGTTTTAGATCAGAACACTCAACAGAGCTACAAGTCCTGAGGGTAGTGTACTTTGCGACAGAAGGCTTCAACCTTGGCAAAGGATACAACACCGGAGCTATCTTCTCAGACGTCTCCAAGGCGTTTGACAGAGTTTGGCATGACGGACTACTGGCCAAGATGAGCGATTTTGGATACTCAAAACCAATGGTAAGATTAATTTAGTCTTTTTTAGCTAACAGGCGATGCCGCTGCAAAGTAGGAGACGAATTATCAACAGTTCGACTACTGGAGGCAGGAGTCCCGCAAAGTGCAGTCCTTTCGCCACACCTCTACTCCGTATACACAGCAGACGTGCCCAAGCCAGAGAACAACTTCAACAAGTTGGCGCTCTACGCGGACGACACGGCCCTGCTGGCGAGATCTACGAGTCAAGCACACGTTACGACATACCTTCAACAACAGGTAGACAGATTGGAGGAGTGGGCTAACCTGTGGAAGATCAGTATCAACCCTGACAAGAGTCGGGCGATACTGTTCACTCGCAGGTTAGTACAACCGGAAGGCAACGTCACCTTCAACGGAGAAGAGATTCCGTGGACAAACAAAGCGACATACCTTGGAGTCATCCTAGACAGGAAACTAACATTCCAGGCCCACGTACAGCAGAGAATAGGAATGGCCAGACAGGTCAGACGACGCCTGGCGCCGATCATAGGAAGAAGTAGTAACATGGCATTGAAAGTCAAGTTACTAATGAACAGAATGATTCTAATGCCAATAATACTGTATGCATGCACTGCCTGGGGACAGTGTGCGCTGACATACAGGAAGAAGATCCAATCGTTTATGAATGCGAGCGTAAGGGCCGCTGTAAACGCACCTTATTATATACCCAATAGATTTATATACAGAGACTTAGACCTGGACACGCAATATGTGGACGTGTATATGAGAGAACATGCAGAAAGCACGTTCGATAGAATCAGATCACACTCAAATCCAGCGTTCCGCGATTTACACGATGCGTTACATATGGATGACCCCCAGATTCCGAGAAAGGGACAAACATCCCAGGCCGACTAAACAGAATAACAGACCGCCCCCGTTAGTCGCCGTCAGGCGACTTAGGTAAGTATAACACTAACAAGATACACTCTCTTCCAGGTAGGTTCAGCGAAGAACACTCCGACCGCGATCGCGACTCTAAAAATTTTTCTTGGATGCACTGAGAAACGCTCGATGCATTAACACAAAGCCGCCGGTTACTTTTTGGGGGCCCCCATGCTTAAATTCAGTTAGGAATAGTCAGATAAAACAACGATTCGATAAGAAAGTAAAAGCACCTAAAGGCTGACTTTCGACCAAAAAACTTTGAACAAATTGCTTCTCCAGGGATGTAGAAAGGATTGCATACTATATCGGCGTATTCTGCATGTATTTTTCTAAACATCTGCAAGAGTATAAACGTGTTTTTTAGTTGCATTGCGAAGATGTCTTTTGTTCTCTCAAAACTTAACACAAAGGTGAAACATTTTTTATTTGCAAACGTTTTCGTCGTAGTTAACGACATTGAACAGTTGCTAATGGATGAAACTATTTTGATGCAACGCGTTGGCATATACTCAAGACAACAAAATCATACTTTGTAACATTGTAGAAAATTAAGAAATAGGATGGCTTATCTGAGAAAATACCTACCGATCTTATTTCATTATCTCTCAACGCCAAATTTGTAGAATCCACTATAATGATAATTTTAATTTTAGTGTTCGTAACATATCCATATCTGGAAAAACAGATTAAGGAAAATTAACTATATTATTTGAGGATAGATACAAATACATTTTTCATTTTAGGATTTTTGAAATTGAATAAAAGGATACATTTTGTGTGTTTCCAGAGAATATAACATCCCTAAATATAGTTCTCTGAAATCGGTACCGCTCTTAACACCAACAGACATCAGTTTTTCTTCCACTACATCTAGGGAGGACAAAACTTTGTATTGAAAAATCAGCTCTTCATCTGGATTGAGACAAGTAAAAAATTTTGGAGAGTTCTGAAAACAAAAACATGATGACAAAAATAATTTCTGTAACTGTGAATGAATCAATCACAGAAAAAACTTAACTATAATATACTATAGTTAATTAGCTTTAAATAATATATTATGAAGAAAATGTGAAGTACTTTATGTGCACAATTTTTAGTAGTTCTATATGAGGATTAAAAAAAGGAAATAGAGGTATAATAGTAAAAAGTAATGAATGCGCATTATAAATGCAGACCGCTTAATGCTCAAACAAGATGTGATTTCGTCACAGCTGATATAAGCGAATTTATAACCTTTAGCAGGTCCACCCTCTTTTTATATCCTAAACGTGTCGCAAACATAAGATTTTATGAGATTTCGGATCATTTTATACCTACAGTGACGTGAGTTTGAGTATTTAATCAAATAACAACGTAGATATTGTGATCTGTGGTCATGTCAGCTGTATTGTTGTTTCATGCGCTTTCGCATTTTCAACATTCAATTATTCCGATCAGCTGTTGGGTATCGTATCGTAGTTGTGGTAGCGGCGAAACCGAAACTCATGACGTCATTACTTTCGTTCACGGCAAGCTCACGAGATGAACTAGTTTCTGGAGCACTATTGCTACACATAAAAAAATATCCAATTGCCGTAAAGGCATTCTGATGGTATTAAAACTTAACTTGTTTAAAAACTTCAGTGAAATTATATTTCTTTTGTTAATATAAATGCCTCATAATCTTGAATTTACGACAGTAACGCACTCAAGCAAGTGGAATACGAAAAAACCATTCGTGAGCGTGATCGTTGTGAACGCTTTGTGGAACACACCGTCTATGAGTTTCAATTTTGAGTTTGACATGACTTATTAGTATTTTTATGTTCCATTTTGCTTTTATTATTTCGGTTCAAAGATTGCAATAACATTGTTTGTTTGGCTTCTAGTATAAATGTTCTACATTAGAGTACTGTAAGTAATATTTAGGACAGTTACTTACATCTTTTCCAATAATTGCCACACAAACTGCCATCCCTATAATGGCTACCAAATAAACTGGTAAAATTGGCTGTCGGTAAAGTAGTAATCTAAGATATAGATGATTTTTAAATTAGTGTAAAACTCAAACTCGATCAAATTAACAATAACAATTCCCTCTTCGAAAATGATTAGAGGACCAAGATCTGAAATTTGTGGCAAGAGAGCCTATGTTCGATTTTTAAATAAAACCAGCTTAGAGGTTGATTTGATATGGTTAGATTTCAGTGGGCGACAGAAGGTGTTCAAAACTTTGGGAAAAGATCAGTTTCTGGATGTTAACACCTTTATAATGCATCCTTGGATGGCGGTCAGTCATCATTCCAAAAAGAATCTTTATATAGAGGGACAGATCCATCATTATCCTCCAGCTAGTATTACCTATTTTAGAAAAAGATATCCAGACGTAGATATTCCTGATGATTTCGAAACTCGAACCATAGCCGTCATTACTGTACCACTTTTCAGTTTGAAATACACCGCACTTTTGGCTGTTCGAAGAATGTTGAGACAATCATCGGATGCTGAAGAACTTGATCTGCCGAAAAAATTGATTGCGGAACTCCAAGAAGATTTTGAAACTTTGGTTGATTGATTCAGCTGATTGTTGCTAACACTGAAATATCTTCCGACAATTAATAGCAATTAGTTTGTTAAATTTAATGGCTCTCTAACTCACTCCCTTGATATAGTTGATTTGTGTATGTTAAGGCTAAAACTATCCCCATACACCATTATTTTCACTTTTATTTGAAGAAAACGAATAATTTTTTATCCAGTTTCAACAATCTATACAATAGAAATTATAAGCACAAAAAGATTTTTGTAAATATAAAATACTAACACTTAATATGTAAAGCCTTACGTGACATTTCCATTATATTGAACTTTTTTCAGGCAAGTATAGTATTTAAAGTTGTATTGTATTTCAAGAGAAAATATGTGATATTTGACAAGACTTTATGATCGTTAATAAGAAATTTTGTTTGTGTTTATTTATTGTTTTTATCTACTGTTACATGCAGGATATCCCAAAGTTATGTTTCTAGTTGTAAACTTGGGATAACTTTTGCTGGAAGTGTTCAATTCATTTCAAAAATACATATGCATAGACCTAAATCTCTCTGAAATGAAACGTTTTATTAATCGTTAGGATATATGTTCAATACAAAATTTTAAAACTTGACATAGACTTTTTGCCAGTACTACCTGGATTCTGAATAATGATTTGTAAAAACCATAGATTCTCTGAGGATAGAAAATTTCTATTGACCCACTGTTTTCATACCAAATAAAACTATCAACCACTTGATAATAAGATTGAAATTTTTGGCATAATTCTGGGAAGTCCTGTAGTTACCATATTTAGTTGTATAGAATGAGTATATATTAAGTTTTAGATGTTGTTTAGATTTGATATGTTTGGTGTTTTTTTTATTTAGGTATAAGGGATGTTCCTGTTCAAATGAATTGTATTATAAGGAATACAAATAAATTTTTACTTTTGACGACAGTTATCTTTGAGACTCCATATATAAAAGCCCTATAATAGTAGAGGATGTGGTTGAAAATTCATTGAATTGAGTATAATGTTCAACTTCCATATTCAAGAAACACTGAAATTTTCACTAAACAGTTTTACAAGAACGCATCACCTGTTTCTCATACAATAGTTTCTTCAGGCGCGTCTATAGACACGCCTGAGGAAGCTATTGTATAGCAAAACATGTGTTGCGTGTTATAGTGATGTATACTTGCGATTTGTTTGCAGCTTTTGAAGTCGATGTGACCTGTATCAAGGTGTTTGCATAGGACCAAGGTTGTTTGTTTATTGCGAAGTAAGGTTTGTGATTGTCTAATCAACAGCAATATATTTATTTCTTTTCAGATAACTTTAGTTCTGGGGGATTCCAAGATTATATTAACTTCCCGAGGATCTCTTTCGATCCCATGTATTTTTCCTGGGTATAAAAAATGCCCTAAGTTAAATATTTACTACAGACTACAGCTTCACAAGTGAAATTTCACAATAGACTTCCACTTGTGATGCACTGTTTGGAACCTTTGGTGTAGTAATGAATATTACTGAAGTTTCTTTCCAATACTAAACTGTTATTTTAACACCTCGACACGTGTTTCGATCACCAAGTGATCATCTTCAAGAGGAAGATATTCGTCTTGAAGATGCTCACTTGGTGATCGAAACACGTGTCAAGTGTTGAAATAATGGTTTGGTGTTGGAAAAAAACTCCAGTAATATTTAATAGACTTCCAAACAATGTGAAAACTATTAGAGCTCTGATAAACAATGCTCCAATTGGCGGACCATTGCTTAATCAACATTGACTGCCGAGTAGGAGATGGCAATTAGATAATTAGATGATATATATAAGAGCTCAAAAGCAATAGAATACTTGTTTTTATTTGATGAAAAAATTCTTATATGATTTACTCCTTCAGTGACTCGGGGCAGATGTGGAATAATGTAAATAACAACTGTTACAATTTTGAAGAAATATTTTTTTGTCTCTATGAATTGTTCTGCAATCAATTATTTCAAGAAGCTTTGATTTTCAAGAGACGCAAAATAATGAAATGAAACAATCTTAGAAATATAAAAATATATTTTTTTGTATACATAAAATTTCCCAGTGCAACTGAGAATACTCTGAATGCACCATCACTATATCCTCAATTCATAGAATAAATTCAACACAATACAAAGAACCACATAAAGACAAATCTTAATGAATTTGAAACACATAAAATCGCTCTATATAAAATATGAAATATTGTTTCATGTAGAATTCAATCCTCTAATCATCGAGATGAAAACGTTACAAACATTTTTGTAAATAAATTAAAGCATTTCCCACTGATCAGAGTTTTTTCGTTCAACAAAAATGGCTTTAAAAATTATAACAAATATTTGTTCATACGATTATGAAAAAACTCCAAGCATTACACCGCCACAATTTTAAATGGTTTTGTAGTATTATACAAAAACTTACACTATATACAGGTATCGTAAATATACAATAAATATTAAATAGATTTCACTGGAAATTTAAAAAAAGTAGTTCACCGATAAAAAGGAACAATATAAAAAAATACAATTGAGCATAATAAATATTAGTTTCGCTTTTCCAAATGATTTAAAACTGGACAATACACAACATTTGTTGATTTTTTTTATTGTTATCTATTGCTAACTTGAAAAGAAATGATGGAGGTATTGATTGAAAAATTATTTGATTTGATTCAGTTTGTAAAGCACTCTGTAGGGAAACATTTGAAGTGATGCTAACTATTTAAACCCTCAACATCTGAGATTAATTCTTAGCAAACTGGCTGGTCTACGAATAGTATATAAATAATTTTTTCAAACACTAATGATCCTGAACTATTTCCCAAATATAGAATATGGGTTTTGTCGCTGAAGACAATTGCAGCAATCTAGGATTTACATACCACCCACCTTCTTCCACATATTCTGAAACCAAATTACTAAAATGATATGGGACACATTTGATCTAATTTGTAACAAATATTAGGTTTGTTCTGGTTCTAACATCCAAAACTGTTTGGAAACTGCGCAAGACATGATGCGTACAAACAAAAAATCTAAAACAGTCCGAAATAGTCTCGGACACTTGGTTAAACCAGAACGATTTCTGAGGAGACCATTGTGCCACCTATTGTATATATGAAGACGAGCAAATACTGTTGATCATGTCCATTTTGTTATGTAGCGTATCCTTGTAGGCAGTTAAAATGTTATCTAACCAAACAAATTTCCACATGAAAGCGCTTGAGCAACGGGAACAGATCTCAACAGTTCAGCCTCGAGAGCATAAACGATTCGGGACTGTTCAAGATAGTTTAGGATGATCTCCCAGTCGAAACCAGAACAGAGGATTCATCAATCCGAACTTATCCTCAATAAACCAGAACGTTCTATATCAACTTCGCATGATTCTGGCGTCCTAGACCTGAATTTCGTAGAACCAGAACAAACCTATGAGCAAAATTGGGTTTTAAAGATTGCGACCTTTACTTTTCCAATTTGAACCCTGTTATATAGTGACCTCACTTTTTGCCTGCCAATACTATTTGGAATAAGCGTGTTCCTTTTTTTTTAATGATGAGATCGAAAACCAAGCTAACTATTCCTCCCTTCTCCAACTTCGAATCAATTGATTCCATTTATTTGTTTTTCTGTCATCGATGAATTCCATCAGTTATAATGAAACCAGAGCTGATGAATTATTTTTAGCTGTACATGTACAAGTAATGGCTTAACATATGTACTTAGTGTACCAACACTAGTTAATAAATTGTTATCATTCTTAAATTGATATAAGAAAATTAATATTTCAAAATGAAACCTCAAAACATTCATCTCTCCCAACTACTCGGTCAGTAGGTTCTGGTAAATGCCTGCCGGTAAACAACTTCCCCGGCTAATACCACGCTGGACATTGAATTATATCCGAAATTCATTTATGCAACATACCTCACAGACGTTAGTCTTGTAGATGTTTCTTGTTCATCCACCAGCAGGACAATGCTGAAATTATTCAAGTAGATCACCTACACGGTTTCGAGGTATTACTACTCATCAGTGCAGGAAAGATCCGACCCAAACAGCAAAGTACCCGGCACTCTATTAATTTAAACGCGGCTCGACTGCATGTATGAAACTTTTGTCTAAGAGAAAGATCATCAACTAATGACAGACAGAGCTGATGAATCTGATGAATTATTTTTAGCTGTACATGTACAAGTAATGGCTTAACATATGTACTTAGTGTACCAACACTAGTTAATAAATTGTTATCATTCTAAAATTGACAATATAAGAAAATGAATATTTCAAAATGAAACCTCAAAACATTTATCTCTCTCAACTACTCAGTCAGTAGGTTCTGGTAAATGCCTGCCGGTAAACAATTTCCCCGGCTAATACCAGGCTGGACATTGAATTATATCCGAAATTCATTTATGCAACATACCTCACAGACGTTACCCTCGTAGATGTTTCTCGTTCATCCACCAGCAGGACAATGCTGAAATTATTCGAATAGATCACCTACACGGTTTCGAGGTATTACCACTCATCAGTGCAGGAAAGATCCGACCCAAACAACAAAGTGCCCGGCACTCTTTTAATTTAAACGCCGCTCGACTGCATGTATGAAACTTTGTCTAAGAGAAAGATCATCAACTAATGACAGCTCCATCTCGTGAACAAAGCCCCAAGTAATAATTAATACTCTTAACAGAGATTAAAACCTGTTTGAAGACTGATTGAGTTTTGATTCTTACGTTGAAGGAAATAGATATTTTGAAATAAAATCTCGAAACATTACAGTGAAAAAGACCATATTTCAATATCGACTTTCACTTTCTAACGCAATATTTCAAAATCGACCTAATCTAATAAATGCAGTGGGCTGGGATTGCAACTTGCTTTCAAATAAATTGCCTTAAAGGGAGATTTTCAATGTTACAACTGTCGAAACCTTAAGAAATGATAGCAATGGCCAGTAAAACCTCGGAAGAACGTTGGGGGTAATAGATAGGTCAAAAGCAAGTAGGTCTATTTTAGTTCAGCTTCTCAAAGAAGCCGTTTACATCATTTGGTGATAAATTTTTCAGTTCGGCTGGCAAGAGTGAGACTCTGACAGTCTATACTCCAAGGCTGTCAATCCCTGGTTCATTTCCCTCGATCTAGAGAAGACTTAATCGGTGATCTATCTTCGAATGGTAGATAAGCAACTCGGATGTATGGTTTGGGGAGTAGGCTGCACTTCCATGGCTGTACTGCACCCACCAGTTATGAGAGGCATGTAAAAATGTGCAATGCAATTGAAGACAATGACCAAAATGCTGGAATTGCAACTTGCATTGATGTTATTTCAAAAATTCGTTTTAATGGGAGAGGCTTGAGGTTAATAGTGCTAAACTTCAATTGTTTTTTAGCAGTAACCAAGACCTTTGAAGAATATAGGGTGGTATGTGAATCCTGTGTCACCCATTATATACAACAATGTATAAATTCAACACATTAAAATATAAACTTTTTCACTATTTTTTATAGTTTTCTGCACAATTTATATTGTTTTCAAGAAATAATGATTTCGTGCCTTCTGTCTGTTCAAATTACCATGCTATATTGGTGTAGGGTTTTGTTATGAAATTTTTATTATAGATCGAAACATGGCGTAACCAAATTTTAGTATTTTGCAATATTCTCACTAATATAGTTACTCTGGATAAAATAGAACTGATTTGAATCACCTTGCTTCCAAAGGAATCAACATCCTAGCTGCTTGATAGTGGGTACAGTTATTTCTATAGCATTGCTCAGACTTACTCGACATATTGCACAAGGATACAAACATTTGACCTCAGGAACTCTGAAAACCTTTAGGATTCTTCTTCTGCCAGTTCCACGTGTCCCTGCACATGGCGTGGACGTCCCTAGCCGCGGTCCAACCCAACTCGATTCTAGCTAACGTAGCATCGGCGTAACATTCCGCGATGTCACCTTCTCTTCTGTCGACTATTTCATATTTGATTTGTTTGCCGGACGCTTCGGAAAACGCCTTGACCATCTCAAGAACAGAGTATCCCCTGCCCGTGCCCAAATTGTAAGCTTTCCATGACTTGAAGGAGGCCGAGTACATCCTCTCGAGGGCTTTGAGGTGTCCAATAGCGAGATCAGTGATGTGGATGTAGTCTCGGACGCCGGTTCCGTCGATGGTAGGGTAATCTGAACCAAAGACTTGGAGTTTTTCACGTCGACCTACGGCTACCTACAATATATTTTAATAAAAAGTTCATTCCAACTGTTAATTATAATAGTGATAAATGCTTTCATTGAAAGGTTACTCAGTACAAATGACACTAATCTAACAAATGACAAAATTCAATATCTGCACTGAATCAATCCAACAAAAACAGGTAACACATTATTTTATACTGTTTTTTTGGGTTTAAAACCTTCCACTATCTGAAAAAATAAGAGACAAATCAATAGAGAATCTACCGAAGCGTAGTAAAGTGCAAACTTGTGTCAAAAGAAATTAGAAATATCAGTTTGAGGNCATTCATGTATAGAGTTTCAAATTGATTACTTCCTTCCTTTCTTTGGAAGATTCTCTCATCCCTTTTTTTTTGTATCAGATGGAGTAGTAGAAAGCCAAAAAATTTCTATCCCAAAAAATTAATCACTCCTAAAAATATAACCCCTTCAATTCATATCAATTATCCTTTTGATAAATGCAAATGTTCAATATGGTGCACACTCAATCATGCGTTTTCTTTTTTATTCATTCTCTTATTTGAAATTGTTTAATATACAATATACATTATTTTATATTTTCGGAGGTATTCATCCTCCAGTTTTCACTGACATGCTACATACGTAATATAACTTTAATAAAGAATTGTATTTTATTCTGATTGTGAATTAAAATGTATAATGTATGTAATCTTGAACAGCTATTCTTATATTCTTCTTTGACAGTAAACAAAAAGTTATATGGGCCATTTGTTCAAATGATACAAATTGAGCTATTATGTTTGAAACTGGGACATATGGGGTTAACAGTCAAGTTTTAAACTGGTTCAATAGCTGTCTCAAGCTGAAGAAACTTGAAATACAAAAACATTTATTGCATTTATCATTCTTCAGATTTTGTCCTCGATAAACATCCACATCATCTCTCTTCCTCATTATAAAATAAATCATATGATCCGTTCAAAAATCATGTCAATGCATTTGCGATTTCAAGAATCAACATCAACTTATGAAGAAAATATTTATGCATTCCTGCAAATCAGCTAATGAGGTTAATTATTAACCAAACAGCAAAATGAAGAAGTGAATGCTTTTAGTTATACACACAAACATCTAAAAAAAAAATTTATTTTCCTGCAATGCTCAAATTTATAAATATTAGCTGAACATTTCGAGCACAACTAGAGTGGAGATAATCTCTCCAAAACAAGCTATTCATAGAACGTAATTGTTGAAAGGACACTTAATTCGAATGCAATTTAATTCCATCTATTTGATGAACTGCATGACAATAGGGTTAAGGGTAGGTGTGTATGTATGACTATATATGTATGTACATATTAACTGCCTGTATTAAGAAATCAAACATTTTATAAAATTATTATATGTGTGTATCCATTTTAACATCCGACAATCCATATTGGTTTGCATAATTTTAATTTTATTTAATTATCATGACTTGCTGCTCATTTTAAGCAGTTAGGATTTATGTACTATATTATGTATTATATTTAGGAGCTTTGTCAATAAGAATTCTATTCTTCAGATAATAAAGCATGCTTTGATTTGATTTGAATAGTGAAAGAAGTGTAAACTGAGTTGGCAACAATGTTTTTTGCATCGGCATTTTGAATGCATGACCTTAATTAGTGTTCTTATCAGCTGAACCATTTTTCACATGTCTGATTTTATAATTCAAGTATGTTAGTATTTATTCAAGGGCTAGCAGAGATAAAATAACCAGATAAGACAACTGATAGCATTACAATCAGTTACATACTTTGATTATTTCCATGTTGAAAATATTTTCATCTACAATCCTTAATAGGTTCTAGACAAATTATAACAGAAAACGTTCAGCTGATTTGCAAATAAATATTAAATCGAGATAGAATTGATATTTTTTTGGATATCGTATCGCAACATTGTGACTTCAACTAGACATATTATAATATTTCAAACACTCCCAAAACTGTACTAACCTGAGAAATATATGGCATGAGATTGTTGGGAATACCAGAGGGGTCCTCCCCAATCAGTCCTGACTCATGGGCTCCAACTGGGTTGAAATACCTGAGTAAAACAACTTTCCATTCCTGTAAAAACAAAAATATGTAGGGAACAAATTACTATAGAGAACAAATCCTTCCTAATTCTCCATGGAGAATCCTGAACAAACATGGAAGTTTTCCCTAGTTCAACAGAGCAGTCCATATGAAGATAAACAATGAGCTCTTTATAATCAGACTAGACTAGATTTTTCTAGTCTCCGAATAGCTTGTTTATTCCGACCGATGTACTTATGTCACAGTCCTTACAGCTTATTTCATATACTATTACGTTTTAAAATTCGTTCATTCAAAAAAACAAAGAACTCTCATTAATATTGTGTATTTAATGATTTTCACTATGAAAGGTTTTACAAAATCCGCGACACGTGTTTCGCTATACAATAGCTTTCTCAAGCGTGAAATGATAAGTTAGTTCTGAAATACAACTATTTTATACTCTAACAAATTACCTACTTGTATGCCTACTTTCTATTGCAGGTACCTGCAATATGTACCTGAAATAACAAATGTTACCTGAATTATCCATACCAATACTACAACAACTATTTATCTTCTATAATATATCAATGTCACCAACTATTAAATCCCAAAAACCTACTTTTGGATTTTTCAGCTGCCAACGGATCCTAAACTAGTCGTCAAAATGCACAGACTCAAAAAGGGAGAACTGCATAGTTCTAGTTGATCATTGAGAGCTTTGAAATTTGTAATTTTATACAAATTATTTATTTCCAATGCTTCCAACAAATTCATTCTCCCTTCCTTTATTGCATGAACGGAGAATGTTCATGTTTTCTTTATTTATTGTATGGTTTGTTTCTTTTAGATGTCCATATATAGCTGATTTTTCATCTGATAATACATGTTAATACTTCTCGAACTTTGAAATGATATATCTCAAAAACTGATAATCAACAAATAACAAATTAAGGGTTTCACTGATATGAAAGATTAGGATATTATAAAAAAACTCCTAAGCGAGCAAGCAAAGTTTCCAATTTTAAAAATTATTGTCATACAGGATATACTGAAGCTGAAGAAAATTAAAATCTCCTACATATAAAATACAAATTCAACATAAAATTTTTTTCATTAAAATTGAATTGAAGACGTTCATTTCCCTTCATCATGTTTACTCGATAAAAAAAAAAATCGTATTTCTCTTCAAACTTTCAGCTGAGCAATTTTCCAAATTGGATTAATTCTTTGTAACGCCACTGTTTGACACGATTCAAAGCAGTTGCGTAATCATTTTTGAGAGAATCACCTTTCAAGTGCAATGACATGGACTGGTGACCTTCAATTGGATTCCAATAAAAGCAACGAAATTTTAAATGAATGAATTGAGTTAAAAATCCAATAATATTTGCCGCTCTTCGACTCATCACCAAAGAAAGAAATGAAAGTACTTGTGAGGTCATTATCGGCGTGATTTCTTGCAACACAATAATTGAAACCTTCAGTAGTTAAATTCAAACGACTGGAGGTTGCATAGTTGATTCTCAATAATACCTTTTTTAGCTGTAATTTACTGGATATTTCAAGTCAGCAGAACTAGTTCCTGTTTATTGAAGTTGGTATAAAATTTTTTTTTTTCAAATGTGTTGATACATTTTTAAATAATTTTACTACTAATAAAAGAGAAATGTTGAATTGATTGAAATTAATTCAAGATGTTTCATCAAAATAGATTTGAGATGTTTTTGTAGACACTGAACATCATGTTCATGCTAAGTTCATTAAAATGACGAATTTTTCCATCTTTCAAAGATAATGTGTGTATTTATAAATGAACAATAATAATAATAATGTTCATTCATTCATTGAAAGACAATTATAAGTGACAAAAACAGGTAACATCAGTAACTGTTGAAACGAAATTGAATAAAAAACAAAAAGGCATATCACACAAGTAGGAATCGGGGAAATTACACAATCGATTACTTTTTTGAAAATCAGGTTATTTTACATAAGCAGGCTATCTCAGGCGTTATATAGAAAAGAATCAAATAACTGGTTGTTGAATAAAATAAAAAAGAGTACATATGCGAGACAATCAGTATGAAAGGTATTGAAATACAAATTAATTTACGTGGACTGTTGAAAAAATAAGGTGATTGTTCAAATTTCGCGGGCTACATACATTCCATCAACAATTTTTCAATTTTTTTTAAGTTGGTACACTCGTCACGAACATATGTTCACAGTTTCAGCTGTTTAACATGTTTAGAAGAAGGATAAGAAGTATTTCGCGTGCCCGGCAATTTTCTGTTATTGAAAACAATGTATCAAAGAATTTGTATCAAACTTTGTGTAAAAAATGGAACTGAATGCTCAAAACCACTTGAAATGTTGACAGTGGCATACGGTGATTGTACTCTGAGTCAGAAAAATCTTTACAAGTGGTACAAGCTTTCTACAGACACTCGAGAAGATGTGAATGACGAAGTCACCCAGGACGCCCCAGCACATCAACAAAGAAAATGTTGGGTATTCTGGAAAAACAATTCATGACTTTTGCATCGCGACAAGGCAGCTGTTCACTTGTCATTGATAGTTCGTGATTTTTTGGCCAAAAACATTACCTCAATCATGCCTCAGCCACCGTATTCACCAGATTTGGCACCCTGTGATTTTTTCCTGTTCCCATGATAGGACGGCGTTTTGCAACGAATGAGGAGATAAAAACCGAGTCGCTGAGATAGCTCAAGGATATACCAAAAAGTACCTACATACAATACAGACATTTATATAAAAAACATTCAATTATTAGCATGCTGTGCACAATATTGCTAAACGTAAATATGTCTTTCATAATCCATTTTTTGAAAGTCCAGATTTTTTTTATTTCCCCCATTTCTTTCAGTACTAATGAATATCACCTAGTAGCTAGTTTGCGTTTCGCTGACCCGTTCTTTTGAAATTTCTCGGTAGAAAGATTCTATCACTTTTTTCAGGTTTCGTGAGAATTTTTTTTAGATAGTAATTCAATTACCGCAATGTGTATATAAAATTTTTTTTTTTGAAAATTAATTTATTTTACATTTTTTATTTGAACTTGTTAGATGTTATTTTTTTTCTGTACATGATTTCTAGTAACTATTTTTGAATAACACGAACTCAATTTGAAAAAGAGTTATTTATACTTTTATCCCACATAAAAGAATAGATTCGATCAGAGAAAAACAACAAGTTTCATGCTTAAAAAGTCTGTAAGATATTGGAATTTGAATCCTTTGATTTTTTCATTATTTCTTCAACTCACATGACTCATCTGAAGTGTCTAGCATTGATAATGCTGAGGTATACAATTTTTTCACTTCAGGAAAATTAAAATTTGGATGGAAGAGCATTCTCTGCGATGATTTATCATACGCAGTTATAGATTTTTTTTTCACCGTAGTGTGCGCTGGTCAGGCCCTATCCCCCGAAGCCCCGATACATTCGAGAGGGCGCGCCAGCATTATCAACTACCGTGGTAAGTGCTCATTGGGTCCGAGAATCTTCTGCATCTGTCCGGTTAAGATTTCTGCCTTACTGCGGCAAGCAGGTATGATTTTAAGATTTGAGAGTAGAGAGAGCATCGTTCCACTAACGACTCCAATAATCAGAACAACCATCTTGTCAGAGTGGTCGACTCGCCAGGAGCTGAAAACTCCACGACAAATATCGTTTTGCTCTGGTGGTCGAGAAGGACTACATCAGGCTTCCCCCCGGAGCATACGGCAACAACAGTATCTCGTCAATACCGTACGAGTGCCGTATATGGTAATATAGCACTCTATACCCATCACGTGACTGCGGTAGACTAAGTTGTTGAAGACATCTTAATTGAGTAAACTACTCATATAGGATGTAAAAGAAAGATAACATGTCTTTTCATAACTCAATGTTACTTAATTCTACTCATTCTGGAAAAACCTCTTTGATTTTTTTCTTAGACTTTTTTTCAGCTCGTTGCAGTATATTGAAGCACTGTATCGTCCGCAAAGCTCACTATTTGTTTAAAGGTTCAGCATATCATTTAAGTATATATTTAAGCAAAAATGGTTCAAGAACATTTCCTTTGGGCATGCCGAAAGAACGAATATTCTACTTTTCGTAACTTGTGCAAGCCAAGGATTAACGAGGTCCTACTTTTAAACGTGCGATCCATAGCATGGGTCGGGCGATACACAATGAATATCGATCGTGCGAGAGTTGGATCAAACCAATATTTAAATAATAGTTGATTTGAATGAGTAGAACGGACCACTCACCAACCAACTTGACGTCATCAAGAGATGAATTGTACCAGTCTAGTTAATGTCTTGATGATGCCAACTTGGTTAAACAAGCGTCGAAAAGAGTGTTGCTTCTGGTGTATAAGAAAAGTGTTAGTTTTGGTCCTAAACTGGGGTTACTTACTGGATCAGAAGCACAGACATCTTTCAAGATTTCTTCAACGAAATATTTGGTTTTTCCATAAGGGTTTGAACACCCTTGGCCAGTGGGGTGTTGTTCGGTGATGGGCAAGAACTGTGGGTCACCATATACAGTAGCTGATGATGAAAATACTATATTTTTCACTCCATTTTTTGCCATAACCTACAATGAAATATTTTATTTGCCCAGTAAACTCACAGTGTCATAAACAAAAAACACTTATGATAGTAATACTTAGTTTTATACAAGGCTTTTAGCCGGAACTTTGCATTTCAGAAATCTATGTGTGCGGGTATACCACAAAATATGTTTCTTGAATACAACTTGGGAAACAATTGTTTTTGTTTGTTAAAAGAATGTTCTTCTAAAAAAGAAAATCACTGGTTTCATTTCAAGCAATTTAATAAATATCTAATTGAATGTCACTATATTTCTGACATATCAATATATATTATTTGTAAAATGAATTTCACAAAGTATATGTAATAATTGTTATTTGATATTGACACATTTCTTTAATAACAGTTGGAATACAATTTTAAGCATGTATGTACAGATAAATTCAGCTTTATCATCAAAGCAACAAACATCTGCTTTGTGATGATAAAAAAATAATTAATTTAGCACTGTGAGAAGTACACTCAATTATTAACCTGTGGAGATAATTTCAAGTCAACATTGATATCAAGTGAAGAAAGTATTATACAAATAAAAGCTTTATATCTAGATATTTTATGGTTTGTAACATTAACATTTGTAATGTAACATTATTTTTATATAACAGTGGCTTGGCACATTTAGAAGTGTGAACATACTGTTATCATTTTGTGAGATATATTTGAAAATTTGGTTTTGTCTACTCACAAAGGTAAACGTGCAACTTACAGGAGAATAGAGTATTTTTTATTATCATTTATAAAATATAGAAAAAAAAATGAAAAATTTTCTCACCTCAAAAAGAGCACTGGAACCGCCAATATTATTTTGGTAATAGGTAAGAGGAATTCGAACAGATTCTCCCACTGCTTTGAGGGCAGCAAAGTGAATAACAGAGTCAATTTTATGCTGAAAAATGAACTGTGATGATGTACATGACAAAAAATATTTGTTTTCACAGAGAAGCAAACTCAATATTAGTCATTAAACGTGTTTAGCATAACGAACTAGAAATTTCAAAAGTTGCTATGTTTAAAACGTGTTAAGGCGTACGTACAGTCTTGAATATCTTATCCAGAGCTTCCTTGTCTCTGGTATCTACATTATAAAAAATAACTGTTTCCCCCGTAATTTTTTCAACCCTTTTCAAAGATTCTGGCTTGTCATTTCCGTCGGCGTAGCAGTTAACAAGATTATCTATTGCTATAACTGAATAGTTATTTTTTAGAAGCTCCACTACGGTGTGAGATCCTACATATCCAGCACCCCCTGTCACCAAAATAGTGCTGTTACCCTTCATTTTTTCAATTGCAACCCACCACCTAAAAACAACATAAAATCCGTTAAATAAAATAAAAACAATTAAAATTTTATTAACCAGATGAAAATGATTGGACCGAAAAAAATAACATTTATTTATTCAATGAGAACAGCTAAACCTATTTAAAAACTTACCTCGAATTTACTTACTTGGTTAGGTAGCCGAGCGGTATTATAGCATAGTAAAACAGTACGAATACATAACTTGATTTATATAGTAAGTTAATCATCCTTATCAGCGTTTTTGAAATTAATAAAGATAAAAAATTCACTCAGCCGTGAATACGTCACAACATACAATAGGAGTACTATTTTTTTATTGGATATTTGAAATTCGGTTTTTGCTATTCGATATTTGACAGTTACAGGTAAAGGTATGTTCACATTTCATGTGCTAACTTCAGTGGTTTATTGACGTGTTTCTGCATTAAAAATTATCGGCTTTGACAATATGGTTGACATATGCAGAAGAAAAGTATCCATTTGATAAGGCAAAAGGTTAAGTTTGTGTAGCTACTCGGTTGTGTGGTGTTTGCACGATTATAATTTCACTTTACATTGATATACCAGAAATTTAATAATGAACAAATTTCACTTCAGCATAGGAGGGCTTTTATTCTAGAATTGTAATAAATAACAAAATTAATCACAATTTGTGAGGGAAACTGTGCAGGCAAATCATCTATCTCTTAATAATATCACAAGGTTTAACTCTGAAAACTGCTTCTAATTCAACTAATATTGCTGACTAGTATTTTTTTTTTCAGTAAACGAATTATTTCTGCCGAAAATACTTTTACTACGGGAATTTCGATAAAATGTTTGGTGATTCAAAAAACGTAAAATTTCGTAGAAATTTGAAAACAGAAGTAATTTTGACAAATATTTGTTTAGCAGTAGTTTGCATCTGGTCCACTTCGCCGTAAGGGAAGCAAAAACCACAAAAAGGAGAAGAATAAGTATGGATAAGTGTGGACACTTTACATGTATTCCACCAGCGGATCACACAATGTCTTGGACACTGCGTCACAGCACACTGTGACAAATCAAATCCCAAAATTTTCACAATGGAAATATGCAACATGTGAACATCATTACGTTGTATCTGACATTTTACTTCTATACGGTGCTGACGTTAACGTTTGCGTGACGTAATGCCAAAATGTGATTTTCGTCATCTTTTTTTAGTTGTTGGAGTCAATGTTCTCTCTTCAATAGCCAGTCTATATTATAATGTAACTGATTGTGATTACTAATGAAATTTAGGTTATCTAAGGCGCAGATTTAAGATACTGAAATCCTGAAATGTACTAATAAAAAGTTATAGCACAGATTAAATATCTGTGGTTATAGTTACATTACTTTTAGTGAATGTGAATATAGTTTTGTGTTTTGCTTACTAATGGAACAGAAAAAAGATAGTACAAAATTCGGTAGGAAACCAGAAAATTTAAAAAAATTACCTTTGATAGACCTAAGAGAGATTCTAGAACGTGAGAAGAAACTACTTGCAAACAAATCTGTAATAAATAAGTTACCAGATAAAGGAGAATCAATCAGAGTATTTCTCACTCGAGTCGAAAATGAAATTAAATATCGCCATAGTCTAGATTCCATTCAAGACTCATTGAGTAAAATATCAATTACTGAACCAGATAAACATATTCGTAAACTTTGTGAAATCGAGAAAAGGCCTGAAAAGGACAGATACAAGCCTTTTTCTACACTAAACAAAGTAAAGGAAGTTCCACCAAATAGTAAAATTTTTAAGTTAATCGAGGACTGCACTGCTTCTAATAACCCAACCAAACTGATCCTTCTTCCAGAGTCTATGAATATTTTGATCAAACAAGAGGAACGAGTCAAGGAGGAACAGAGAAAAATTCGATACAACAGATTGTTGCATCAAGCTGAAGAAAGTGATGAAAGTAGTAATGAAAGTGATTCGGAAGAGAATTCAGAGGTTGAATGTGAGGGTAGCTGAAGACAGTTTTTTCTGTGGAATTTTATTAAATATACAAAAGTATAATGCCATTGCGCACATAGATATATCTGTATAAATGGGTTGCCATCTAATGGAAAATTTTATCAAGACATCTGATGCAGTCTTGAAGAGAAATGAATCGAACTGGAAATATACAGAACTATTATAAAAAACTACGTATATGATGAGATGAAATGATTTCTTGTAAATATAACTATCGAAGATCATTTTTACTGCATGTCTGTTTCCATTTTAATTTTTAGGAATGAAATCGGCTGTATCTTCTGAAATAAAGCTGTCGAGACATTTATCTCTTTTATCTACTGATTTAGTGAATGGTATGGCTAACTAAATTTTTGAATTCACCAATTCTTTCTCGTTCTTAGAGTGTTTCTTACATTTCTGTTGTGAATAAACTGTTGATACAATGTAAAATTGAACTAGCTTGAGGATCCCAACACATGCATTTTATTAAAAGACGCCTACGTACACACCTATTGCATATCTTTCACTCTGTATAGGAATACTTAGTGATATCAAATATAAATGATTTAATATATTAGTAACTTTTTTCATAATTTTGTTGAAATTCTCAATTGTGTCATTTCATGTGATTCAAGGAAAACAAAGTTAACAATTTTTTTTATATTCATTTTTGTATCTTTCCTTAACACTTCCTTCTTTATTCTCGAGAGAAAATACAGTCAGAAACCTATAAATGCTGTTTGACAGTAAATTAATATTTACTGTTAGGATTCATATAAAAGGTAAGATCTCATTAGTTCTTAGCTTGACTTCTGAAGGTTGTCGTTAGTAGGGGTGTGATAGTTGGTCAACAGAAAAAGATATCAGTGCATCAGCTCGTAAAACGCTTGGTTTCATCTTACCTGATTGTAAATCTTTCACTGCTTCATTACTATATTTTTCACTTGTTTGATCTAAACTCGAATAGGTCACTTCAATTTGGTATCCTATCTATAGTGTCCACATTGAAACTTTGAAGAAAGTACAAAGACAATTTTTAATATTCCGGTCATTCAGAATTGATGGTATCAATCCAGCCAGAGAAAGTACCCGCTTAGCTCCATTAAAAAGGTTCAGGGAAGTATACTTTAGAAATGTATCTATAGATCAACATCAAGCATAGTTATATTGTGCAAAAGTTATTAATGGAACTGTCGAAGTACCGTTACTGCTGGATTAAATTGCTGGTGTACCTGAGGTCACAACTCTGGAACAAATCACTTTTTTATTTTGGTGTTTAGACCAAACCTAGGTAGTATTTCTCCAAAATTTTAAAATACAAACTTCAACGAATGAAGCATGTTCCTCCCATATTTTTCAGATAACTACATAGATTAATCATAATTTTTAAGTAATACTAAGTATACATAATCTTTGTAACTTTTTGTACGGTATTATGTCTTTAGATATGTAATAAAAGTGTGATTTGTTATTTATTATGGCCTTAAGATGCGTTATTTCTATAAAAGCTATAGTTTGAAAAATCATCCATCACGTACGGAAAACCCTTTACCTAGATGTAAACAATGTAACTCAAAGCTGATAGACCACTCAAAACAGCTTCAAACATTCAATGAGAGCAGCTGACACTGAAAGTCATGTTAGAGCTAACCAGAGCTATTTTTCAGTGTCAGCAGATCCCAAAAATACAACAATTGACACATAAAACTAGCACTTAATTCCTCAAGGATGGAAAGGTTTCAAATATTTTCATCAAAGCAATATCCACTTGCTCTTTACTCAGAAAAGAACATCAATAGTTGAACAGAGTTTTAGTAATGAAAATTTCTGTTTTTTACCACATTAAAAGTGGCAAAAAACATAGAAATTTTCATTTCCCTTTTCATTATGATCTCCTACCACGTAGTAACGACTACATCCATCAATTTATTTTAAAGAGTTCTAGTTAATTTGAATTCGAATATTGTGTAATATGGATATATATGTTAAAAAGTAAGAAAACAAAGAAACAAGCATCAATTATAAGCAGTAAAAAAAATACAAGTATATACACCTATTGTAACAAATAATTATACCACAGTCAAAGACTAACTTGAAATGAATTGATAATTCATCAACGGTATAGCAATTTCACTCTGACAGATGAGGCTTCCACTAAAATTGAGTATTTTCAATTCCCTGAAAAAATGTACATGTCTGTCGCTAACCCAATTGGTGTATTATTTTTGCAGCATAAAATCCCTCTCTGCACCGGAACTCATGCTCCAGTTTAATATTTAATACCTAAGATGATACAGAGTCAACAATATTCTTCTTCCCCAGTGGTCCTATCCAAATGACTCAGTTGTGTTCAGCACTGGAAATTTTATAAGAGCTATGTTGTTGATATTCAGTAATTAATGGTTTTTTTATCCAGGTAATCATTTTTTATCTCCGTGGAATCTAAAAGATTTACTGAATTTTCCACAAAATCATCTGCATATGCAACTACATGAATTTTTGTCAGAATCTGAAAGTAGCTAATCAGATCATTTGCATATATTAAAAATGACAAGGGCCCAAGTATAGATCTCTGAGGCACTCTGTTCATTTTCTAAGGTAAATGGATTTATCTGTTATGCAATAATCATTTAACCTTCCTTTAGTGTGAATTAATGAAAAAAGCTTCTGGATCTAAAATTCTTTATAATAAATAACACAAAAAATTATACAAAGATTTTTAATTTCATTTCACCAATTCCACAAAAATCAGTTGTTACAGTAAATATGAATTGAAAAAATGATGTTATCGAGAATTTGGGCTTACTTTCTCTTCAGATTCATTTTCACTGTGACAATAATCAGAGCTTATAATTAAGTGACCAAAAAACCATAGTTTTACCTAACACCTAGTCTTTTAAACTTAAATTTAGTTTTTCAAATGAGCTACAATGTTTACCATATATATTAGCACTCTAAATCTGATTGAAACTGTCTTCATAACAGAAACTTTGAGAAGATATCTTTAAAACCAGAGCTAACAACTAATTTGGAAAGATAATAAAAGTTTTCCTTTCTTGATTTTTAGGACCAGAATTTATCAATACCCTCTGTTTAAATTGAGAAAATCTACAAGTCTTTATTTTACCATCTTCACAGTCTGAACTATAACAGTAAACATGAATAAAAATAATGATGTTAGAGAATTTGGGCTTACTTTCATTTTTGTTCATTTCTACATCAACAATTCAGAGCTGTTATATTTTCATTAGTAATGAAATTTGCTGATACTTTTTGAAAAATCCTTGATGAATGTTAATTTTATCAATTAAATATAAATGGAGTACCTGAACTTTCAGATTGAATTCATAAGTTGAGCCAAATTTTAAAGATACATTTCTCAGAAATTTACTTGCCAGAAAGACACATCTTACAAAGATATTAATTGCTCTACAGTGCCGATGCTCCAGAAATAATTTCAATCAGCTCTCTAGTAATGACAGCCTGTCTGGTACGGTTGAACGTCAGAGTGAGCTTGTCAATCATCTCTCCTGCGTTTTTGCTGGCATTGTCCATAGCTGTCATCCTGGAGGACTGTTCACTGCAGGCCCCCTCTTTCATTGAATAAAACAACAACGAAGCAAGTGAGAATTCCAAGTAACTCTGAATAACTTCATCATCCAAAGAATCGTACACGGAAAGTTTCGGAGCAGCCTTAAAAAGAAATCTTCATGTAATTTGGTGTCAAAACTACAAACGCATTACCTCTTACCGTCACAGAGGCCAAGCTGAAGACAGGCAGAGTCTGTGTATTATAAGACACAACAGATTTGAATCTGTTGAAGACGATTTCACCAGAGCTGAACTTGTAGTTGGATTTCAAGATGGCATCTGCTAGCTTTGAGGCATCGATGAAGGTTGGGGGCAAACGTCCGATTTCGTTGCAAGCCAGAATGATGTTTTTGCCATAGATACGCTGCAGTATAGCTCGAGATTTGTCACCCACGCAAACGACTTTAATGTTTTCGCTATCCTTGCTGAGTTCTCCACGAATGTAACGAGCAACGCTGGTGTGAACAGCCCCACAAAGTCCTTTAACAAAACATACCCACTGAATCGAAATCTCAATACTTGAAATTAATAATGAAATTGATAGATATATAAACTTGTATTAATAATATACATGAAAAAAATATAACGGTTCCTAAAACTGAACTCTGAGGCAAAACAGGTTCAATTGCCATACTCTTTGGAAATTTGAATGTTTATTGTGCATAAAACTTGAATTTCATACAGAAAAGGGAACGTGGTTAGCCGTAGGCTATTTTCTACGCCACCATAAAATATGTTGCATTCCAAAAAACTGATTGCAATGTAATGAACTCATGAATAACTACAAGAAAGAAATTTCAACAAAATCAAAATTTAAACTTACACAATTAGTGATGATTCAATTGAAAAACTGTTATTATGTTTGTTCAATTTATTTGTGTTATTATCTGAATTAATGTTGGTAATGACAAGATTGGCATTAATATTATTTTAAAAATAAATAACAGCTCCATTCTCACATCAGTATCTTAGAAAGCCAGCTTCAGCAAGTCATAGCTATTAGGTATTACGTGTTATTTTACATGTTTAGGGTCATGTGGATATCATTATGAACATTTGCTATGCTGTATGTGAAGAACCTCTTGAATTGTTGTGAAAATATGTATAGTTTTTCCAAATTATCCCTTGTTTCCACCAATTTGAATATGACCTTAATAGGTCATATATACACATTTATAAATATTTCCAAAAGGAAGTAGGTGCTTCCATCACTTACCTCTGTCAGAGGTCATAGCGATGACCAATTTCTGAGGGATGTCTGTTACCGGAGTCACCTCAGCTTTCTCGTAAAACTGTTTAGCACCATCGCCAATGGGTCGTACTGCCTTGAGCTCCCTCTCAGCCCTGGCATATTTAGCTGCAGACACCATTTTCATGGACTGAGTAATTTTCTGGATGTTTTTGACTGATTTCAAACGGATTGAAATAGCCTTAAGGGTGGCCATACCCCGCTGCTGTTGCGTTTGGGCATTTTGAGTGAGCAGCGGTGCAACTTTACCGAAATTTCCAAATCTCACGAACATTTTCCAGCCTGAAAAATTCGTAGATTAGGTATTATGTAAGCACATATGAGAATGTTGAATAATGGTGATGGCTGACAATATTATCTCTGTTTATAACTTACTGGGTGATGATGAATGGTTTTCGAGACTGAAAGTGAAAAACTTCGATGAATTATTAGACCATGAATATTGGAAAAAATACTAACCTTACCACCTCATAGACCGACCCCTAAAAAACGAGTGACCACGAAACCGCGCTTGCCCAGAAAAAAAAAATGTTAGGACAGGAAAATAGCTCTTATGGAATGTTCATTTAGAATCGAAATGAAAGTGTCGATCTTCCTTGTTACTTATACCGCACGACGAACAATTTCTGAAAATGTGAATCGTCACAAAGTTAATTGGAATGACAATTCAATTAACGAGGGAATCACAAAAAGTTTTTATAATCTTGTTTTTTTCCTCAAAACTACAATGAAAATGTTCATGACGTTTGTTTGCAAACGACAGCTAATGAAAACAAAGTTGGTAAAATTGAAATGTTGAAATTCCAAATCTTTTTTGAAAGTCAAAGACTACAAACTTCCAAGAACGCGATTCCTAAAGAAAAATCGATCTTCACTAAACATCATCTTCACTCTTACGTTGAACAATATTCCATAAAGTAGTCTTCGAACCTACAACCAGATAATTGTTCATTTCAACGGCGAATGACATCTCGTATAAAATTCCCTTCAATCGTTGCATTGTTTGAGGAGAAATGAGGTTTCAAACAACAATGTACGTTAATGATTCTCCATATAATATTATTTCACTTCAATTTCTCTTTGAGTTGTCTGCGTGGGATTTACAATGCGCAGTTAGAACTCAGACTTGTTACTCTGAGAGTTAGAAAGACGGTATCATGTCAAAAGTCAAACGTAATCTACTTTTTTTGGTCGTTGGCAGCACTGGTAACTAAAAAATTGAAAAGAAACAGTTGTAATTTGTTTTCCTGTCAGTTTGCTCATGACATTTGTGGTGTGTGTTGTGTAGTCATGTGGAATATTGCGTGAAATACTTCAATTATTGATAAATTTATAGTGTTGTGACTGGACAAACATACAAAATGGCAAAAAGGCTGACCGAAGAAATGGTCATAGCCAGGACAAAAATATCCGATCTTGGTAAAATAAAACGTCTTAATTGTTGGTAAGATATTTCTAAATATTTATACTTTGTTACATGCAAATGAATCATAATCCAGTTTATCGATGAATAATATAAGTCAGCTCATAACGTACTTTTCATACTATATTGTAGTTAAATATATATTTTCGTTCTAGGGGTAGCGAACTGGTGGATGTTTCTCTGCTTCGGAAAATGCCTTCAGTTGAGGTTTTATCTTTGAGGTGAGTCAATTTCAAAATGTATTTGATTCCTTGTTGTGAAACATATTTCTCAACCACAAGTCTCCCTTGACATAAAAATATAGACTCAAATTCACAGGATTTCAATATCCTCATTGTTCAAAATGCATTGTAGATATTTTTTGGGGTAGCTTTTTCAGATAATTGAATTGGTTTTTGCTTAGGAGAGTTTTGATATGTCTTCCTTTTAAAGCACTAAATATATGTGTAATTTCTTAATTACTTAGCTCTATACAGTTAGAACTTTTGCAATCATAAATTTTAGGCCCTCCATGAAAGCAGTCCAAATTATCATTATCAACTTGAACTAGGCATTTTGTTTCTTGGAAATTCCGTCTCTGAAAGCCATAATTTTGAATATACCCGTAAAAGTTTACTTTTAAATTCTCTGTAAATGAATTTTGTAACCAAAAACAGTGAGACACATTTCTGTGTATATCAATTTCAAAATTTATAATTTATTTAAAGTCACAATTTCAAGATGAGTAAAAATTTCTAGTTTGAAGTTGAAATTTTCGAGATACAAAAAATAAAAATATGTGGCCGTTTTGCACTTTCGTACATAACAATCTACAGTCCCCGAATGAATCTACAGCACGAAATAAATATGATTTATTTTGCATTTATTAATTTAATAGTTATTTTCCAATCGTCAATGTCTTCATCTCTCGATCCTCATTCATTCAAAAGCTTGTTTCAAAAACTAAAAAAGCATTTTAAGTAGAGGCGCAGCTACATATAGATACATGCGGGAAACGAGATTTCACTTATTAAAAAAGAAGAGAGTTGTTACGCTCTATACTCCCATATAATCGACCATCAACAATGCATTTTCACACGATGTACTTCATAGGTCATTATCTAGACTAATGAGCCCAATTTCACATCTGCTCTCGTTGGGTTCTGTTTATTTTTTTGAAGCCGCATTTCAAACATCTGGCTGGCATCGACCGGAGGTATGGAGGTTTATTATTTATTTCTTGGAAATTACGACTTTGAAACTACTCGCCGCATCATCGGTTTTAGCGAGAGCTGACCGTTTGGCGGGAGTTGGTCGTGTTCCGCTTGATTATAGGTTTCCATATGTTGCGTATCTCTAGGCTAGCTTGGCTGAATGCGTTGTTGGACAAGATTCATGTGGCTTTTTCTTCGCGCTGTGTATGTTTCTTGTGCTTGGCAATGCGAACTTTCAATGGCCTCTTAGTTTCACCGAAGTATGATTCTCAGCACTCGCAGGGTATCCTGGTAAATGCAATTCTTGGAATCGCAGTCCGCGTTTGGTGTCGCGATTTTCGTGAGACTGCTACGGATAGTTTTCCCAGATCTGAAGCAGGTCCTGATGTTATATTTGGACCCAATCCGTCTTATCCTTTCCGATAATCCTCTGATGTAGGGAAGTACAAGTACTGGTTGTGGCAGCTTCTCTTCCTTTTGAGGCTTTTGTTGTCTTCTAGCCAAAGTCTATCCCGCCATCACTTTGGAGTAACCATTCCGTTGAAGATTATTTTTGATGATACCTAGTTCCTTTTCGAGACCTTCCTTTGTATTACAGAGCCCGAAAGCACGGTCTACTACAGTCTTGATGATTCCTCTCTTGGTCAATTGATGATGGATGGATTCCTGGTTCAGATACTGCCCGTGTGAGTGGGTTTTCGATATTCCGATGTTTCCCATTTAGTGTCGGTACTGTTCACCAATATGTATAAGAACGGCAATTCGTTGTGGACTTCCTTCTCCATTGTGAAAGTGATGGAAGAACTTACGTTGTTGATGTGCTTCAGGAAAGTGTCTAGTTCTGCATTCCCATGGTTCCATATTATGAAGGTGTCAGCGTATCTCAACCAGAGTCGGAGCTTCTTGTGGGCTTCTTCAATGGCCAGGGTTTCAAACCACTCCATATATATGTTGGCTATAATCGGTGAAAGTGGCGATCCCATTAGCAGTCCCTCATCTTGCGTAAAGAATTCGTCTTTCAGATGAAAGTAGCAGTTTCCTACACAGTATCCTAGTAATTCCATGATGACTTGTATCGGTAAGTTTGTTCTATCTTTCAGGTCCCCATTTTCGGAAAGCTTCCTCTGTATGATTTGAAGTGCTTCTTCTACAGGAACTAGTCAGTTTCGACGTGGAAAGACTGTTTACCAACGTTCCTGGCGAAATCAGTATTTAGACTAAAACCAAATGGGACCATAGATTGTCATATCTGAGACCTATCAGAAAATAACCATTCCCGTGGCCAATACCACGAAGGGCGTTGGATTATATCCAACAGGTGTCAGTGCAGGATTCTTCACAGTTATTCTCCCGTCGTGGGAGTTGACATATTTTCGGATCGATGAATTTTATAGACTCACGCAGAATGAAAATATCTTTGAATTCAGAATTATTGAAATTGTGCCGGTTTGACATTCGAATGATGCCAAAATTCTAAAGATAGTCTATAAAACTTAGATTACATGTGATGGTGTGCGACGTAGCAAAACCGAAGAAGCATTTTATGACAAGGACAAATCGCAAATCGATATCACTCTGGGTTTGTTATATGCTAATAAATCACAGTCGTTTTGTTCATTTCGATTCACAACTGCTCCTAATTGTTATTCATGAATATCAAAGAATGTTTGTGTTCGCATTCGAGTTAATTGATTTGAAGAATGTCGACGTACATGCACGTTCAAATGTACGTTCGAGGAATTTTTTTTTCATTCTCATGCACCGTGCATTAGAATGAAGTTATTTATAGTGCTCTTTGAACATTTTAGGAGTTTTTTCCATATCCATTAATAAGATATTTCAATGAGTGGTTTAAAGGTTCGTAATGTTAAGACTGCTGTGGTCCAATGAATAAATACATTTTGTTCGTTAGTGTCAATTCGTTAGGAAACTCCTCAAATATGTTGTTCATAGTTCATTTTAAATATTTTAGGATTTTTTTATAATAGTTCTCAATGAGTTGTTTGAAGGTTCGGATTCTTCAGACTGCTGTGGTTCAATGGATAAATTCCCAGTAAGTGGAGAGAAGTGAGAGTAGTATTTATACCCAAACCAGGTAGAATGGACTACACCCTACCAAAAGCATTAAACATTTTAGGATTTTTTTATAATAGTTCTCAATGAGTTGTTTGAAGGTTCGGAATTTTTAGACTGCTGTGGTTCAATAGATAAGTTTATTTTTTCCGTAACTGGCAATTTTTAAGTAAAATCCCCAAATACGTTGTTCGTAGTGCGTTTCGGACATATTAGGAATTCTTTCCATATTCATTGATGAAATCTTTCAAGAAGTTCTTCAAAGATTCATAATTTTCAGACTGATGTGGTTGTTACTGGCAATTCGTTAGGAAACTCCCCAAATACGTTGTTCCTAGTGCATTTTATACATTAGGAATTCTTTCCATACCCATTGAAAACACGTGTCAAGGTGTTGAAATAACGATTTGGTGTAATAATAATGATTCATTATTTACCATAACATAAAATATTCTTCAGATCACATAACGAGGTAAATAAATGGATTATGATAGATCTTAAAAGCAATTCTTCCACTTAAACCACAACAAAAATAAATAAACATTCTAGCTATAGTTACACCAGGATATAAATAGAACTCAAATATAACTAAGGAAATATTCTAAAAAAAGTATTGTTTCATTGCTTCTCAAACAAATGTTTTTTGGCATTTTTTTTGAAAGTGTGAATTGGTGTAGAGAACTCGGGAACATCTTTGTGAGCAGGAATATGCACATCTGTCCTACATATAACTTTTCTATATAAATATTCAGTATTTTTGAATTTTAGTATTTTATAGTAAAAAGTGAGAGCTTGTAATTTGCGTCTGTTATACATACCCAACCATCCTGCGTCCTTCAGCTTATGGGAAATTCTTTCCCTCCCCCTAACGTGATATATCATTCGAAGACAACAATTTTGATCAGTGCGAAAGCAGCCATAATTCCTTCACATCATTCGTGAGTGGGGATTTTTTCTTCGAATATATTCATTGAAGCATACAGAACAAAACTCATATGTTGAAATACACACATCGGAAAAGTCTAGGGATATTTTTAAAAATGGCAATAATTTTTTTTAGATCGCTTCAGGAAAAAAAATT